TTTTGAATCATCAAGTATTTTTCCTTGTGTATTAATGTAGAAGCTGTTGTACTGAGTCTTTTCGCAGACATAACTTTTATAGAAGCTGTGTTAGTAGGAAAGCTTACTAATTGAACTTATTACTTACTACACCCCTTCCTAATCTTCAGTAATTGTATGTCACATGTTTATCCCCACTTGTACTTAACTGGAAGAGAAGGAAATGTTTTTCAACTTTAGTCTCAGAGTATGAGCTACCAAATTCCAAAGGAAGTACTAGGAATGGAACATGGATGCTAATCTTAAAATTTCTATGCCAAACCACTTAAGGAAGGCCGTGTGGGAATGTTATACTCCAGACAGCATCAGCAGATACCTTACACTATTGTATTTGTTTGAATGAAAAATAATACCAATAACCCAAAGACTGCTCAAGATCACAGGGATGAAATTAGTGGTAGAGCTGAGATTAGTCCAATTGGAAAATCAATACCTTAGGGTAAAATGATAGGATAATTAATTACATGATATTAGCCTGATTCCAGAAGTGACTTAGAAGCAATCAAAAGTATGTGGGATTTTGTAACATTACGTTAAATAAAAGCTTGACTGTTGAATACATTTGAATGGACATTCTGTGTATTAAAGTTCTTTCCATAAAACTAGTTGGTAGTGACACCCCATTAGAAGGTTTGGGAGAGCAATAAATTCATTATAGGGATGCTTTTTGCCACTTGTTTCTAATTCTTTAACAACATAAAAATCATAAATTAATAATTTCAGTAATTTTATACCAGTTTTATGTCTGTTTAAATACTGTCTCCTTCTGTAGTGGTAATTTTAGGTTAATATGTTGACAGCCTGCATATAAAAATGAAATTCATCCCCCTTACTTCTGTGTCATTGCTTTAACACTCTGTCATGCACTGTTCACCCTCCTGCTGCTTATCTCTGTGCTTTCTTAAGTTTTTGACTTTATAGAGGGCTTACTGGAGTCTTGGTAAAGGAAGTGCTGTGGTTGTGTATCGTCATACATCTCTTAATTCATAATCTGGCTAGATTTTGCCAGACCTATTTTAGAATGGTGCCAAGGCAGTTCAGACAAACCATCTCTGTGCTTGAGACAAAAGGAGTGATGTGTATATTGTGAAGTTGTGTATATTGTGAAGTTGTGTGGTCATGTGTAAGGCTTTGTGTGCTCTGGTGAAATGCTGGCAGATAGAAGAGTAGTAGAACAAAATCCCGTGGCTATTTCTGCAGAGCAGCATCACTGATAGAACATTACTTATTGGTTTGACAGCCTGTGATCAGCAAGTCAGGAATACAAAAGGATAAGGAAAAAACTCAGTCACCAGGTGTAATTACACTTTCTGAGGTATTTGTACAGTGGTCATCCTGGGATTGCTGTGACTGCAATGAGATTTCCTCTTGTTGTTAACAGATAGAAATAGACCCCACATTCTTGAAAAATTATTTATTTTTCCTAAATAAGCCCAGCGAGGTCTCTGCTAAATTTTATCATGAAGTTATATAATTTTTTCATATAGGACATTTTCTTCTGCAGTGTGATTCAGAATGAAGATAATCTTCCACGCAGATTGTGTTTTTAACAAGAAGTTTTACTGCAAAGTAAATTTACACTGTAACTAAATGAATGTTAAAAGTTAGTTACACTGATGGAATGATTAAAAATAGTCTCATAAAAGTTTGAGTGTAGGGAGACAGTGCATTGACACAGCTATGACTCAAAACATATTTTTTATCTGTCCTTCTGCATCTGCTGCTATAACAAACATGCCTGCCATGCAATCAGCTTTTATTTCTTAAGCTTTGAATTTTAGCAATGACTGTCGTAGCACTGGTTTTGGGGTTCCTGGGTCAGGCATATAGTGAAAGATTATGGGAAGCTGTATTTCTATTCATGGACTTGGGGAACTTCAAAAAAACCACATCTCTGCTAATACCCAACTGTGGAACCTAAATATGAAAATACTCCTTCTCATCAATTGTTCTGTTGATGCTGCTTGCACAGTGGCAGCATGGAGGATCATTGGCAATAAAGGCACATGAACACCTGATACTGGAGACGAGATGACTGGAAGCAAGGAGTGGCATGAAGTTCCACAGACAGGTCGACTCAGATATAGATAACTGATGTAAGCTTAAGACAAAGATGCTAATGCTAAAGCAGAATTAGCTTTGTTGCAAAATGATTGATTACTTCAGGCTGTCAAACAGTTTATATTAAATAAATTAATGCATACATGTGCATGTTATCTGTGCATTAACAGTAGGATTCTTTTGGATTAAAATGCATAACCCAAAAAGCTGTAAGGTAGCTGAGCAAGAAATAAAACAGGCTATGATGTCTACCTCAAAGACTGATTATTTCTGACAGGCATATAAAGCAGCTGGTAGACAGGATCATTACCCTTCTGGCAATAAGGAAACAGAGACAGTGCAGTTTAGGACATTTTCTAATGCTAGCAGAAGTACGTACCTAGGAATTTTGAAGATAAGGATCTGTATTTGCTTCTGTTCAGATCATCGCAGCTGTGTAAGCTTGAGTGCGGATTCTGTAAGAGTGGTCTCAGTGCTTAAAGGCATGTTGATTTCCCCATTCTCCAGTTTGGAATGTCACAGCAAGTCACATACATGTCAGAGGAAGAAACAATGAGAAGTTGTTGGTCACTCTGAGAAGCAAAGACTGGAGAAGGAAAATAGTCCTGTTTTAATTTCATATCTCAAGAAGTAATCAGGCTCCCTGTGCAACCAGGACAAAGGTGGGGCAGAGAAAATCAGTCACCAAAATTTAGAGGTGCTTGGCCAAGAGTAGCTCTTCACCTGCACAGAAGAAAAATGCCAGCATGTGGAACTGAGGGATGGTGCAACCTTAGGTGAAGGATGATTACCTTTCCCAGTCCCAGCAAATGAATGAGACTGGTTCCAGATCTAGAACTTTTGTGGCAAAGAAAGCTGAATGGAAAATATGCAACTTTCCAACTTACACCTCTGAACATACACATCCAGTTTAATCTAAAAAGGGGTCAGGTTTGCTGTGTACATGAAGTTGCTGTTACAGTTTGCAAAGACTGTGTATGAATTAAACCGTGGAGACTTTTTTTTTCTGAGGCAATGGTAGTTCCAGCCAGGAGACTAGCTAGAAAAACACAAGGAGGAAAAGAAAATCTCAAAACCCTTGGGAATCATATTTCTGAACTAAGAGTTTTGGTAGCAGAAAAGACAGAAAATTCCAGGTTGGGATATGTCTCTGAAGTGTCATAAGATGTTAGATCTGCTAAAGTAACCATCAGGGAAACGTCTCTGAAGACAGTGTTTCTTCTTTTTTTTTTTCTAAATGATTTTTTCTAACTGGTTATTACTGGGTTTATTTTTATTTTCCAAGAAGGAAAATAAAATTATATTCTAGTAGTGAATAGGCTCATAAAGGAGAAAAGGGCTAGTACTTAATTTCAGTCAGGATTGTTGAGTGAATGATACCCTATGTAAACGTGAGAGAAGTGCAAATCTGTATTTTCAAGCAGGAGCAGAAAGTCTAAAACCTTTTGACATGTTTGTGTAGAGGCTAGGCTATAGTTGAGATAAAATTATTAAATAAAAGAAAACAGAGCTACAGAACATACTTTTATGATAAAAGGATGTTTCTTGTTGACTAGAGCAGTCAAAACGGCGAAGTAAAATGTTTCCTTGGTGTTTTGAAAAATATAAAAGCTCTACTGGTAATATGAGCAATGAAATTAAGGAACACTTGATGATTAAGAGGATTAGAGATTTCTAGACACTGTGTTGAAAATCTTTTGATGAGGAAATATAGGAGCTTTAAGAAGTAAACCTTATTAGTGCTATGAAGCAGATGTGTTAGAAAATCTGTTGAAGTAAGTGTGCTTTACCTCAAGGAGACTGTATTTTGTCTTCTGAAGAGAGTTGCAGAAACACCTTCTCAAAGGAACTTTTCAGCACAAAATAAGGTGCATATGGAAATCTTGTATTTCTGAAACAGCATTCTGCCCTGGTTCCTGGTTCTGTTTTCTGCTTTCTTCTTCTCCCAACGACCCTCTTCATCTTTTTCTGTACAAAGCAAAGCTGACCCTATAGCTTCTGTTGGATCTGATGTGGGACAGCAGACTATAAATTTATCATTCATGGAGAAGGTAAACAAGAATGAGCAAGAATATTTAGGGGGATTATGGACAGTAATGTTTTCCCATTTTTCCTTTTTTTTTCCCTTCTTTTTTCCCTAAAGCTTAATATGATGGGAGAGTCTCTACAATCTTTTTGATGAACTTTCTGTTGCACCTTGACAATGTTCGAAAGAGGACCTCTTTTACTGTGAATTCTTTGAACTTACCTTGTTACCCCATCTCAGTTATGTCTTGGGCACAATATACAGTATGGGCTGTATTTTGGTTTAGATGTTCCCCAGAGCTTTACAAATTAAAGAAATCAAACAATTGCCAGCAGAATAATTTTACAATGTATGATGTACCATTTTTATTTGTAAGGGTTACTGTTAGCTACAAGGAGCTTCACATGAATGATTTAATTTTTACAGAAGTCATTCTCTGTGATGGTGGAAAATGAAAAATTCCTTGGTTTTGAAGCCACTGTTTGAAGGTTTCACCCTAAAATTTTGTCAAGGGATTTCTTTGTTCAGCCACCCCAAAATTCATTATTTGCTATAGGAGTTACTGAAGGTTAAACTTGGCGTGAGCATTTGAAGGATTTAAAAGCACAGCATCCTGTAGATGAAATAGAGCAATAAAACCCGGCATGGTTACTGAATCAATATTATACTATTTCCTGTCTGTTGAATTCCTTCATTTATGGTGAAAAATGCATCTGTTTACTTCTTATCTTCAGTAAATATCACACCTGTTTTTTCACCCCTCCTCTTTCCTCCTCCCTCTGTATCTCCTCCCCTGTGACAGAATCAATTGCATCAGTGGATAATATATAAAGAAGAGTTTTCAGTGGAGTTGCCCAGTCACCCACCTTAGCCACCATGGGGCTAAGAGTGGCCAGCCTTTTCATACTCTGGCTGGCTCTTTCCTATGCTCATGAAATCAGAAAAGGTAAGCTCTAGAAATGAAATAGTAGCAGACTGCCTCCTGGAAAAGAGGGAGAGAATTAAAATACCACTGCAGAGGTAGAAGGAGGCAGTGCATTTAAATAATGCACTTAAATAATGCAGTTTTAGGATGCTTTAAATTTCTTAAGCTTTCAAATACTGAGGCAGCATGACTCAGCCAACATAGGTTGGCTTTCTTTCTTTGGAGACATTAGTTCCTATATCTGCTGCGTTTATATCTAGTTTGATGTGCTTGGAAAATATTTTCCATGTTACTTTTCTTTCGATGTGTTGAGTCTTTCCTAGGTTTGGCAACTACTTTGCAGAAAGCAACTGTAGAAGTTTGAGAGGTTCATTGTTACAGCAATGAGGGAGGTGGATGACTGTGCCTTCTGTTACTTGGAACAACATAAATTCTTTCTTCAAAAGGAAATGTAGTAACATTGGACAAAGCTAATTTTGCCATTTAGAACATTAATAATCCTGCTGTAAAAGCTCTAACTTCATTTGTTATCAACTTTGAAGTGTTAAAGTGAAACACTTACACTGAAAACAAAAAATTATTTTTTAGTGGAATAGGTGATGAATTTTGTCCAGTGGTCAGGTTTGGGGTATTGAGCTTGGTCTGCTGTGTCTTGAAATCAGCAATGAGAGGAAAGCATTACCTTGCATTTGGTATCCCAGCTGTGAGCTCCAGAAGAATCTCTGTGCAGCCTTCCATCTGGGGAGAGAAGGATAGCAGCTTGTATCTGGCATGATTGATACCATCAAAGCACAGTAACCTAGAGGTTGTGTTAGCAGTTTTGCTTTCTCATAGTAAACAGTGCAAGAAAATCTTGTGAAAATGAGAGACATGTCAAGTTTCCCGTGGATACTTAGCTTGTATGATTCACCCCTAATCTACAGTACCTGGAGATTTATTAGATATTGTGTTAACTTGTATTATTAGTCAGTATAGATGGCTGGGAAGGGAATAAATCATCTTTAGTTTTGGCTATTGCAAAAACTTTATTTTTCTTCCTATCATGGTTATATCTTCTGAAGAATTTCTATTCTGTAGTAATAGAAATCACTACTGCTTTTAGGAAAAGAAATAGTTTCCTAAATCTGCTGTTGTGCACAAGTCCTTTCATAATACTTAAACTATTTCCTTTTAGAGTAGGTGGTACTTTCTCGCTTTCCTAACTGTTTTTTTTCTAGTACGTGTTGATCAGATACTTGATCAGGCTTGAAATCTGTGGAATCACTGTGCACATAATTGCAAGTGATTTCTACTGTAAAATGGAACACTTACATTTTCTTACATTAGCTTGTTTATTGCACTTTTTTCATGTCTATTTTTTTTCATCACTTAACAGGAAGAACAAGAAACCACGGCCACTATGTCTGCAGCACTTGGGGAAACGACCATTTCAAAACCTTTGACGGAGACATCTACCAATTCCCTGGCGTTTGCGAGTATAATTTTGTTTCTGACTGCAGCGATTCTTACGCAGAGTTCTCTGTCCACATCCAGCGTGCTCTGAACAGCGATAACCACCCTGAAATCCAGTATATTCTGCTAAAAATCAAGGATGTCACGGTGTACCTCAAACCAAAACTGGTTGTGGTGGATGGGCGAATGTAAGTATTTCAGAAAAATGTGCTGGGAAGATAAAAGCAGGATTGATTCTTTACAGTTGTCTATATACCATTATGGTAACTTCTACAAAGCGTTTCCACAATCCAAAAAAAAAAAAAAGCCTTTTGAAATCCAGCATAAAAATTGTTTTGTGGCGGTGCTTTAATGTTAATCGTCATTCCTACACTTGCACAAGGGATTATTTAAATGAAAGTAAGGAAGAGGTGTTTGAGTGAATTGTTCTTCCAGTTGTGCAGGAAACAATGCAGGTCATGAGCCAGATCTTTCACTGGCATAAAATGACATAACTTCCTTTGTTTTGTGGCATCACCCTGAATTTACCTTAGCAGATGGTCTAGCAAATAATGAAAAAAGAGATGCATTTCTCTGGGGTCTTTTCCTCTTGTTTTGTGACAGTAGAGTGGTGGTTTTTTTCTGATCTTCATAAATAAGTCTTTAAGATCCAATGGCCATTTCTCAAGGGATTTTAACAGATATAACACAGGTCAAAATTTACACTAATTTACATGTGGCAATATGTGCTTTTTCACAGTAAGCAACAGTGTTTTTCTCCTTCTGTAACATGGCTACACAAGAAACTAGTCCGACAGCATCACTGATGCCAAGTACTGTCTTAATCTAGTCTTTCCTATCATTAGCCTAACCTTTCAGTGTGTGTATATATACTCACTGAAACAAGTGAGGCAACTCATAAGTTAGGAAATAGGTCTGAAGATTCTGAAGAAACTGGCTATTAGTATGTTTTAGCATAATTAAAAAAAAAAAAAAAGAATCTATTTTATTGCCATTGTAGGACTTGGTTTAGCCGAGATTTCAACTTTTGCTCTAAAGTTTGGAAGCCACTACAATGAAAATATGTTCAAAGGTTGAAAATAGCATCCAGTTTCCCAAAGGTCATACCAGAATGCATAAAAAAATGACAGAAATATTTAAAAAATGCATTGTTTCCCCAACTTGAAAAAGCTTTTTATTGGGTACTTGGGTCTTGAACTCAATAAAAAGCAAGTTTAGAAATCCTTTAAAAATTGTTTCTTTTAAACCTCTTTTTGTCTTAGATAGTGTTCATAAAACAATGGTTCACTTCTGAACAGGTTTTTGCTGCCTGGGGAATTTAGTTTTTTTAAAACTGAATTTTCCATATTGATCTTTAAATGATACATGATCCATTATCATGTAAAATAGCATTTCACAGTACTAAAATGAAAAGTGTAAAGTAGAAAAAGGTATGAATTTGCCTTAGGGTACCTGATCCACTGATTGAGTGAATGTCCTAGAATTAGAAAACAAGATAAATATTCCATGCAGTGGTAGCTGAAAGGTGAAAAGATGCCCAATGTTTTATAATCCCTCTTGAAAAACGTAATCTCTCAAGAATTCATTGCCCAGAGGATGAACAATGCATTCAAAAGTAGAAATAATTGTTTCTGTGTTTGCACCTGGTATTTAGATGTGTAAATCATTTGGCCATGTTAAAAATGTGTAAGGTAAGTAATTGGAAAAATCCCAGTGACAGGAATTCTGGAGATAAAGCTCTCCCAGTCAAGAGACTAGTTAAGAGGAGATATACATACACATGCATGAATCCTGATGGATAGCAATTATATTGACAAATCTGTAGAAAATGAGCCAGTTATTTTGACTGGATTTCACTTTACACTACTTCTGTTTGAACAGACTCTAGTTCTCTAGATTTTATAGGATGAGGCTACTTGCCATAATCCCTTTATTGCTGAATGAAATTCAGCAGTCCAGTTTGATTTGTAAGGCAGACATACAAAATCAGGAGAGAGATCTGGTGAATTGATTCTTTATCACACAAAAATATCTATGCTCAACTCTCTGCAAAGTATGTTCTGTCACCATTCTGTCAACCAAAAACTAAGTAACTAACTACTGAAATAACTACTCAATTCCTCTTAAATGCTCCTTTGTTTTCAAAATTTTGTTGGCAATCCCTGTATCTGCCTGTGCTTTTTGAACTCTTTGGAGGAGGAAGTTCTTTCCAAAGGAGCAGTCATTCTCTCTGAAAGGGTTATCAGATCTTTTGGTAAAGAAAAGCTTTCATTTATGTTGTAGCTTCCTTCATGGAAGTAAATTTTTAGTGAGTGTTTGAATATCCTCTGTTAATAGCACAATGATGATGGATTTTCCTTTGATTAAGTTGAAGACATCTGACATTTTGATTTTTTCATCAAAGGACCTGTACCCTTGGGTAAGCTTTGCCTCTGAAATAGCTTTGCCTTTTAAAGGCAATGAGTTATTGTCCCAAGTGTCGGAGAGAGATATTTTATGCCTCATTAAAACAAGGCATCCTGTGCAGCCAGGATGAGGTAGTCAGAGGCTGGTTTCTCTGTTCCTTAGGGTATTTGGCTTATTACAGACATTCATGTCAAGCCTTATGTTTCTGAACTAATGTAAAATCTCTAATTTTCTTCCTAGTGTGAAGACACCTTACTACAGCTCTGGTCTGCTCATTGAGAGCAGTGACATTTACACCAAAATTTATGCCAAATTAGGCATGGTTCTGATGTGGAATCAGCAGGATGCACTGATGGTAAGTTTAATCAAAGAACTTTTTATTGTTGTTTCCTGGAATATTTCTCTATCCCAGTAGGGGAAAAAAAAAAAAGAGAATTCTTTTATGTTTTTCCTCTTTCTTTCCATTACTTAGGTGGAGCTGGACAACAAATTTAATAACCTAACCTGTGGCCTCTGTGGGGATTACAATGGAATTCCAATCTACAATGAGTTTATCAAGGGAGGTGAGTCATTCTACCATACTGACAGTTGTCACAGAACATAGGGTGACAAGCATTGTACATAGAAGCATCACAGGAGAGCAAATTTCACTTGAGAGATTTCTGTGATTGCTCCAGACTAAGCATCATGTTCCAGTGCTGCATTCCTGGTCTAAGGTTATTTTATTCCAGGTGAATCTTATTGTTCTTTTCTCGACTAGCCTTCTTTTCTTTCTTCCCCTTTACATTTTCAAGCATGGTTAAACACAATTCAGAGCAGATACTTGTGTCTGACGTGTGTTTGACACCATAGTAATTGTTTTCCTTGATCAGGAGAATCCCATGAATCAGATGCAACTTGTGGTCAATTTTTGGGGCTCAGCAAGTTCTCCAAATTTTTTTTTCATAGATACAAGCTACAATTCAATTACATATGGGAATTTGCAGAAGATCAGCAAACCCAATGCCAAATGTGAAGATCCAGATGAAACTCAGGCTCTTCCAAGCTGTAACGAGCATGTGAGTATTCCTACTGGTGAACTTCACTTGCATGGACACATCCTCGTGCTACGGGGAGTTAGTTGCAAGGAGCTTGGAAGACTGTCCATTCCAGGGCAAATGATTACTTTTCCTTTCTTGAATAACTGTTCAGAAGACAACAGTTTTTATACAAGATAGGAGGTGACCAGAAGCTCAGATGTTTACAAATCTCTCAAACATTATTACTCTTTCTCCTTAGCGTGACGAGTGTGAGAGGCTGCTGACTTCCTCTGCATTTGCTGATTGTCGGTTCCGTCTTAATTTGGAAACGTACATCCAAGCCTGCATGCAGGACAAGTGTGCCTGTAATGGCGCTGAGGACTCCTTCTGCATCTGCAGCACCATCTCTGAGTATTCTCGCCAGTGTTCGCACGCCGGTGGCCGGCCGGGTGAATGGAGGACGCAGAGCTTTTGCCGTAAGCAACGATACAAATTTTACAAAGACCCAAATATTTCGTTGATGTAGAACCACGAAACATTTAAATTCATTGCTTCTTTACAAAACCATTGGCGTATATTATAAATTTTATTCCAGGAGTACAATAAGTTACATAATCTGTTCTCCCTCTTTTTTTTTTCTTCTATTACCCTTGTTATTAAGAAATCCTTTTCAGCAAGCAGAAATTCAGTTCCCATTGTAAGACCGAGAGGGCTGATACTGCTGATGACCGAGATAATTTGATCTATTTGAAACCAAAAGAAATAGATGTATGAAACAGGGAAAGCACTTCAGAAATAGATGAACATGCTTTGCCAGGTGGAGTCTGGCTTGAGACATCACTGGCTTGAGAGGAATAGGGTATATGATCTGTGGTTTCTGAGGGATTATGGATATTCCACTCAAATAATTCCTGGTGTCTTTCTTATTCTTTCAGCCAAGACCTGTCCTGATACCATGGTCTATAGAGAAAGCAGCTCACCCTGCACAGATACTTGCTCACACTTGGACATCAGCAGCCTTTGTGAGGAACACTACATGGATGGTTGTTTCTGCCCTGAAGGCAAGTGTTATTCTACCTGTTGTGTGTGGAACAAAACCAAGAGCTCTGGCAAAGAAGATCATAGCTAAAATATTAAATATAGTCAAATTATATCTCAAAAATGAGTACTGCTCTCCTTATTTTCCCCTCTAGGGGAACATAACCATAAGGTTTTTTTGAGGCAGTCATAATTGATTAATTAATCAATTATTTTATAGTTCAAACATATTAACACAATGACATGTAGGAAATCTGCTTTTTAATTCTCAATAAGTGAACTTCTGATAATATGTAGAAAATCAGCCTTTTTAGGTTGAATAATTCTGAGACAAAGGACATAATTTACCAGAGTGTCAATTAGGGACTGAGATTGAAATTCTCAGATTTACTGTCAACCTTGGGAAAGATTACAATGATAGTCTTCAGAATATGCCAGAAGGACTGAAAATCTAAACATATAACATTCTGAGATCATTCCTGTATACTTACAGTAAGCTTTTTTATCTGTGTATAGTTCTATAAATGAATAGATTTGGATTTTCAAAGGTGGATAAAAGTGTTTTTCATGTGTCTTACATTACAAAAAGTAGAAACACTATTCTTCACAATTTTGATAAACTCAGCGTGTGGCAAGTTGAGAGTTTCTCCTCTGTGGAAATTGCTTGTTTCAAAAAGAGCTGGAATAGTTAATGTTGTGCTTTACAGGAACTGTGTATGATGATATTACTGGAAAAGGCTGTGTACCTGTTAGCCAATGCTACTGCAAACTCCTTGGAAAGCAGTATGCACCTGGAGAAAACATTTCCAATGAATGTGAAGAATGGTAAGGATCCTGGTTGTTAATACGCTTTTCTTTGAATGATTGTAAGTGGGTCGGTGTTCTTCAAATTTCCACTTGATCATAAGAGACGTCCTGAAAACATTCTGAACCTGATGTTTATGTTGCACGTCTGTAGAATCAAATTTCTGAAAAGTTTTCTTGAATCTATGGAATATGCCAGGGCAAATCTTAAGGAAATGGTCAAAGATACAGTTTTAAACAACCTGGGGATATCTTGCTGTTTACTAGGTATACTGATGCTTTCAGTGCTCTCAGCTCCTGTAATACCTACGAGCATTTTTTTTTTATTATTTGTCTGTTTATAGCACCTGTAATTCAGGCAGATGGACGTGCAAAGATTTACCTTGTCCAGGCACATGTTCAGTGGAAGGAGGTTCCCATATTAGGACCTTTGATGGGAAGAAATACACCTTCCATGGAGACTGTTACTATGTATTGGCCAAGGTACTGTGTACTGTAGGGCTGTTCTCTTGTAGAGTATATACAAGTGTCTGTGGGCTGATATGTAACAGCTGTGAGTTATTGTTTTGTTTCACGGGGGTAAGGGAAGCAGAAATGCTCTAAGTTGTGCTATAGAGTTCAGGGCTGGCTGTAATAGCCCTAGGGGGACGCTGGGGACTTATTGCAATGGTGATTAACTCAGTCTGATAGCTATGCTGTCATTATCCAGTGGAGTCCTTTGTGTATCAAAAAGTCACTCTGGCTACATGGACAGGTAAACTGCAAAAATTGGCAGATTTCAGGATCAGAAATTCTCAGTCAGTTCTGTAATAGCTGTTTCTCTGTCTGAGTATTGAAGTCAGCTAGGGAAATGAGGTAGGCAGCTCTTTCATTCATCTGTCCCCAAAATATCTAGTGCCTATTCTTCTAGAGAATGGCAAAAATCTTGTTGAACTAGAAACCATGCCTCTGAATTTGTTTGAAAGAATGTTCAGCTGTAAGAACTAGTGCTGATATGGTGGTCTTAATAGCTAAGGTCTGTAGCAAAGTTATTGTGACAGATAAATTTAGTTTTTGTTTGGAAGTAATCTCGTGAGATTTTTTGATTGGACTAATGGACATTTATTTCCCTGTGATTGTAGGATACTGCAAATGACAGTTATGCTCTCCTGGCAGAGCTGACTCCCTGTGGCTCCACAGACAGGCAGACCTGCTTGAAGACTGTTGTGTTGTTAGTGGATAACAAAAAAAATGTAAGTTTTGTTCTATGGGTTCTGCTAGATATGTTGAAAATCAGCATATTTCCCTTATTGTGGAGGAACAGTTAATTCTTCTGGAGTTGTTATTGTGGATAGATAAGGCACCTCAGACAGGCTAAAGAACAACTCAGGTTTCTGCCTCGAGAATCCAAAATAGACCTAAACTTAACAAAAGGTGAAATTCAAAACAGCTGACATTTTCCCCTCTTCACTCCTCTGCTCTGTGCTATATGATTATTCTCACAGTATTCCAGATATCTGGAAGCAAGAATCCCATTCTTCTTCCCCTCACAGTATTTTACTTTATTCAGATATAGTTTTATAGATATTTTTCAGAAGAAATCCTATCTTTGAATGTTGATACAATGCAACCTTCTCAAATATTCAATTTAGTATTCTGTTTGGTTGTGGTAATATATAGATTATATTTATACATAATTTTACACACATGTACACATAATTTTCCTCATGTATTTCTGGACTTCCATGTCTTTGCCAGCATAACTAGAACAAAAGAAAACTGAATCAGAAACCAATAATTTTATGTTTCTGTGTGTACAGACTAGCATTTTATGAGGAAGTTTAATAAACTGCTTTCTGACCATGCCGGAATCATACTAAACCATTTCACTGAAGCTGTGGCACATGCTTTTATAAGGAATAGGAACTTGCTACAGATCCTGAAGACCTAATATTTTCTTTTACTTGCTGAAACCAAAGTGCCCAATATAAATGAGTTTTATATTTCATTACTGTTGTAGGCAGATGTGAGCGAAACACTGAATAGCAAGACAAAACTGTACTTGTATCCTACAGGTCTGCTGCCATTTAAATTTTCAGATGGTTTCTTCTTTTCAAAAATTTAAAGTTCTAGTCACAGCCTAAATGTGCAAAAGGCCTTTCTTGTTGATTTCCCTTTTATTAGTTCCTTTTGCTCTCAGTACTTGGAACCTCATTGATTCTATTTGCCATTGTACAGGTGGTGGTTTTCAGATCCGATGGCAGTGTGCTACTGAATGAGATGACAGTGAATGTGCCTCATGTGTCAGGTAAGTGACACAGCCTTGTATCTCCAGTCACACCTGACTTCTCATATAGGAATGTTTTTTTTCCTAGGCAAAAGTGGAAGAGTGGCATAGGAAATTTATTCAGATTTGGTAACAAGTTGGGGATGAATATGATTTAATAGACATCTGAGGATTTAATGGGATCACTGACTCTGTATAGAGTGGATGACTGAAAAAAAGTCCTTTCACTTTTTTCGTACCTCTTGAACATACTTTGGCACGTAGCTTGGGAAAGAGAAATTGCCATGACGGAAAGTTAAAGCAGATAATTTACCTTGCCTGTGAAGAGAGGTATTTAGCACTTTCCAAATTTGGCTACATGGTGTGGGTATGCCATTTGGTTCTGATGCCAGAGAAGAGTCACTACAGGTAATCAGCTTTTTAAATTAGTGAGGACCATCATCATATCTAGTAGACCAGTGATTTTTAAAGGAAAAAAATATTATTAATTTGATCCTGGTCTCAGAGTTTTCATGACAGGTGATACCTTAGAATCTAATAAAAAGTATTTCTTCTGGCAGCTTGTGTGTGTATTTACTGCACGGTTCATGTTTTGTTTTTCAGCCAGCTTCACAATATTCCAACCATCTTCCAACTACCTTATTGTACAAACACCTTTCGAGCTTCAGGTGCAGATCCAGCTGCTTCCAGTCATGCAACTGTTTGTGACTGTGGATCAATCAGCTGAAGGAAAAATTCAAGGCAAGTGTCTATTCAAAGAGGAAGCAAAGTCATGCTGTTCCACAGCTGAGGATTCATGTACTTTTTACATGAGAGATAACTCATGCTACTTGTTGATTCAAGAAGAGGAAGCTGAAAGCAGAAACCAAATCATTGAAAGCAAATGGACTCAAGCAAACTAGAAATGTGTTTTTAGTTTTTCACATTGAAATGATCTATCACTCTAGTGCCAGTACACAGATATTTCTTAGAATATTCCTTACTTCTATATTCAGTTTAATTTTAACTATACACAAAAACAGGTTTTTGGTGCCTTTTGTATTTTCAGTATCATCAGAAGCGTAAAATTACAGGTTGAGGTGGTAATCTCCTGAGGCAGAGATATCTTCATGAAGATTATTCTTCTCAAGATGTTGAAGATTTAAAATAGGCCTCCTAAAACTTCAGTATTTGTCATTTGCATCAATATTGAGGTGGAATAATCAGCTGTATGAACTTCTCTTTCTAGTGTTTGTGACCAGTTGTCCCTTTTCTTTGACCTTTTATTATGAGAATGAGTAATGATTATGTAAAATTTTTACCTTCTTTTCCAATAGGTCTTTGTGGAAACTTTAATGGAATGGAAGGTGATGATTTTAAATCAACCAGTGGGCTGGTAGAAGCTACAGGATCTGCCTTTGCGAACACATGGAAAGCTCAGTCCATCTGTACAGACCAGGCAGAAAAGCTGGAAGACCCCTGCAGTCTCAGCATTGAAAGTGGTAAGTAGATGAATAAGTCAGATGGTTGGCTTTTGCCAGAATGAGCAGTGTTTGCTGGATATTACTGCAACAGGCAGTAATTTTTAGATTAATATCTGCACGTATGTTCACATACAAGCACTCATTTCCCATCAAACTGGAGTGAAAGTTTAAGGGGTGATTGTAGAAGAGTCCTGAGCCGGAAGATTGGGAAGCAAGATCATTAATTTATATTATTTGTAAAGGTGCTTGTATTTCCTAGTATTGTTTATCCTTATGTTTAACTTAGCTTCAGGGTACTCAAATGGAAAGGGCTGTCACAATTCTATGTAAACCAGTTACAGCAGTGGGATACAGGTTTTGATTTTATTATTACATGTTTCTGAATCAAAGAACAGAAATATACGTGCAATGACTGCATGTAGTTTCTTCACTCCCCAAATGCACAGTTTTCTAATTTGTATTGTTGCACTGCATTTATCTGTCAGTGTAACTAGATGTGGCACAAGCGAGATAAGGAAATGTGATGAATTTCTCTTTTTTTTTCAGCAAATTATGCTGAGCATTGGTGTTCTTTGCTGAAAAACTCAGAAGGTCCTTTTGCAACATGTCACTTAGTCATTGATCCTTCAGAATACTATAAGGTATTGTAATCTTGCACACTTTTTAGTACTGCATTATTTCAGATGGTTAACTATAGACATTTAACATTGTTCAAATGTTTGAGACATTACCCAGTAGCTTGCCCATAAGTGGTGGTGAACTCTTTGCATTGATTGACTCAAGCAGCGTAGCATGCATATAAAGTATCTCCTCTGATGAGATTCTTACAGGGTGCTGCTGAAGTTTGCTTTCTTGTATTTTGTATTTAATGAACACTTTTATTGGATTGGATATTTGAACTGAAAAGAAGATTCAAGAGATGCAAATGTGCACTGACTACCCTTAAACATTAGCTGCTATAAAGTCATGAAAAAAAAGTTTCCTATATATTGGTTGGAATGTAACACCAAATCATTTTCATGCCAGAATCTCCATGATTTTTTTTCCCCTCTGCTCGTCAGTGTTGAACATAAGTGAGGCTTACCTAAGGAAAAAGAAGAAATACCTAAGTTATTTCTTATACTTGGAACTCAGTCTGAGCTCAAATGTTGTGAAGATCTTCAAAGATCTGGTTAATATTTTGCCATTATGATTTCTAATTTTTGTGGATCTCTGCATTTCTAATTTGTAACTGAGAAAGAACAGTATCAATATCCTTTGAAAAAGGTGTTGTCAGGAGGCTGGATATTTTTTAAAAGTTCAGGAGGCTTGGCTTAGGTTAGAAGTAAGCATGCAAACATTTTCATTGTGTATGAAATGAAGCAGCACTTTCAGTCTTTGGTCTTTGTCCATTCCTTCCATTGTTCTCTGGTCATGGGAATTAATAAACATCAGGAAAAGTACACAAGATATTTTGTAGCAACCCAGTTGCAATTGCCCATTAGTTTCCTGTGAGCTTACTGACCCTTTCATTCTTTTTTTCAGAAATGTAAATATGACACATGCCTCTGTGAAGATAATGAAGAATGCTTGTGTGCTGCCCTGTCCTCTTATTCGAGAGCCTGTGCTTTCAAAGGAATCATACTGGAAGGCTGGAGAGACAGTGTCTGCAGTAAGTAGTGGAACTGTAATCCCTGTGGAATTAATTAGCCACGAGAAACAAGCAGGCGCTCTCTGAATTTGGTTGTTAGTGATCTCAATGGTAAGGGATTTGGAGTATCTTAGAAAGGTCTAATGGACCTAAAAGAGGCAATGTTTATAATGTTTACTAATTCATGTTATATTCTTTAGCTGTAATTTGTTCATGATATATTTAAAAGTAGAGAGCATTATTTTTCACTTTCACCTTCTTTCCCTAGTTTAAGTAATAATCTCATTTATTTGATTAATGGAATCCCAGCCATCAGGGCTTTTATGTTGCCTTTGTTTATCAGTGTCTTTGTTTATCATCATGCTAGCTTTTCATCAACAGTGTGGTATTGTTGAGACTAGGAGCTTATTATATTGTACTCTCTCTCTCTGATTATCAGTATGTGAAATAAATAGAGGTATGAAAGGAACTATTAGTAACAGTTAAAAATAAGTCTTCGACTGGTAAAGTTAGGTTAGTGTTACTTGTCACTTCTTATATTTTTGTACTTTAATAAAATCTAAGGGAATGTTTTTATCATTACATACTGCACAGCCAAGGAAACCAAAATAGAAATGTCAAGGCTAAATTGTCCATCCTGCATCTCTTATTTATCATTTTATTTATTTTCCCTCCAGGCAGTGAAGTGTCTGCCTGTCAAGGAAATCAAGTCTTCCTTTACAACATTACAAGGTGCCAGCAAACCTGTCGTTCCCTTGCTGATGGTGAAAAGTATTGCTTGCAAGACTTTGCTCCTGTGGATGGCTGTGGCTGCCCATCTGATACATACCTGGATAAACAGGATAACTGTGTGCCCGTCTCTGAGTGCCCATGTTATTACAAGGGATCATACCTGGAACCTGGGGAATATTTTACAAAAGATGGAGACCGCTGGTATGTTTTATTGTGGCTTCTTGTTTGTTGGGATAAAAGGCTTTAAAAAAATTGTTTGTTAGGTGTAAGGCGCTTAGCTTTTTTGGTACTTAATGAACATTTTTAATACATTTCACAATATCTTCATGCCGAGCAAAGTATTATGCTTTTGCAATTTAATTTATCAATAATTGAGAAGTGCAACTTGCTTTGGAGGCCTTCACAGATAAACATTACTTTGAAGCTGCACTGTTAATAGGGCTTTGTTAAGCAGAGGTGTGAAAAGAAGAAAAAAGACCAACTATATGTTATGTTACTGTTTCCTTTTCTGGCAGAGACAGATCACTTGTGTTTTCTGTGGGAGGAAGGTCCCCTTGATATGTATTTAGTATAGCATAGGCTTTTGAAAGCAACTTTTCACGATTCTGTTGTATTTTGCCACGAACCTTGGCAATTGTTTGCTGCCTGAGTCATTGGTGCAAACTATTATTACCTTCCTTCACCCAGGAGAAGAAGCATACAGGCCAACAAATTTGCAGCATGTGACTTGAATAGGCATGAAAATACACTGTGTATCCAAATGAAGTCTTTGATTTAAATTCTCATTCTTATCTGTTTCATTATTATCTATTTCCTGAGCCATCAAAAACTGCAATATTAAGGATTAATAAAGAGGCTGTTACTCCTTAAAACACAACTTTTCTGTGCATTAGACCTAAAATCTTGCTACACTTTTTCTCCAAGTGAAAATTCGTGACTGTGTTTCAATACAATTGACTTGAAATATCAGTAGAAATTATGCAGAACATCTTTGATAAATACTCTCAAATTTATATAAACCAATCCTTAGACTTAAGTTGAAGACACTGAGCTTGTTTGTTTTTTTTTTAATTTCTACTTACTTCACTTTTTTAGTGTTTGCCGAAATGCAAAGGTCCAGTGTACCTCAGTGAGAGCTAGAATGAAAAGTAAGTGACATTCTATAAAGTAAAATAAAATAAAAACCGTAACCAACCTTCAAAACCAAACTACTTTCCTTTTGAATTCTCCACTTACTTGTTTTATATGTTTTTTTCTATGTAAAACGTTACACATTTTCATTTTGTTCTCTCTTCACTGAGCCTCTTTTTTTCAAAAGGATAGAGCATCTGCTGAGATTTCTGTCTCAGTAACTACCATATTTCACACACATTTCTTTTGCCTTTTCTTGACTGATCTAAGCCAACAAAATACCTTTCAGGTGTAGAAGAATGTTCTTCTAACAAGACTTTCTTTGACTGCGATGCATCCTCAAAATGGACTTCACAAACACCTGTACAACTTAGCTGTCATACCCCTCAAACAAATCATGTATGTATTCAAGTTTTCTTCAGGTCATGTTTTCTTTATTCTGTATTCTCTAAATGACAGAGTGCTACATAGAAAATACAGCTGTAACTAACAGTTTATTTCTCTTTGGTTTAAATCTTCCGTTTTTTCTCCCCAATGATGTTAATCTGTTGCCATTTTCATGATGAATCCCCTTATAGTTTCCCTCTCCTCTTTCTTTTTACTGTGTCTTCAGTAGAGTTGTAACTCCCAAGGGAAATAGGATTTGGGTTCTTAGACAACCAAAATAGAAAAGAAAAACATTACCAACCTAGAAAGAAGAACCTTATAAAACTAATAAATATTAGGCTGTTTGGTTATAAATGCAGTTTTTAAAGTGTGCTTGTGAAGAAGTGGAATTAAAATGCAGTACATTATCATAAGGTAACCGTTTCTCCTTATATTCTTTAGTTCCAGACAGAGTGTGTCTCAGGCTGTGTGTGTCCTGAAGGTCTATATGATGATGGCAGAGGAGGCTGTGTTGAGGAGGAGGACTGCCCATGCATTCATAACAACGAGTGGTATTCTTCTGGGCAGAAGATAACAGTGGACTGCAACACCTGGTAAATTATAATTTTGAACTCTCTTCTAGAATATATTCTATGCCATGTATTAATACTCATGTCTAGGCTTATGTGGACTGCGAAAACTGCAACTATCATCTTCTATTTTCAGGAATATTTATTGCTATCTGAGGAAACACAGATTCTGCTGAAAATACTTGAGGCAGTAGCTACCTCTGTTTTCAGTAGGCATCAGGTGTTAGGAAAATGCACTCATTTTTTAAATATAAATGTTATCTAAAGATCTTTAGCTGACCAGAGTTAAAAATCACATTATAAGCTTAAAACCAGGCAAAACTGTTGAAATTGAGACTTGGATATTTTGCACATTATCATATTGTATTAGGCAGCTGCTTGGTTTGTTTTGCAGTTTTCTAAACGGTCCACTCTTGGTGATACCTAAAAATTCAACTTCTCTACTCTTTTCTAGTACCTGCCAAAAAGGGGTTTGGAGCTGCACTGCCAATGCGTGCTATGGGACTTGTATGATATATGGAAGTGGCCATTATATCACTTTTGATGGAAAATTCTATGACTTTGATGGGAATTGTGAATATGTGGCTATTCAGGTAATGCTCATCAGGAGGGCTGAAATGGCATTTGATTGCCTTGAAGATCTGCTTTCCTCTTTGGTTTTGTCATTCTTTATTGTCTGCCATCACTTTTCCTGAGGTCTTCACACATTCTGCTGGGAGAAATTGTATATTTCCAGTACAGGCAGGCTGTGTGAATGTCACTTTTTCTTCTCATATAGTGGTCATAAACTATATGTAACAGAACTGTTTTATAGTGATAGCTAACAACTCATTATCAGTTGCAAAATAAATCCAAATTCTAAGTTTAGAAACCAAAGATACTTATATTTAAAAATATATTTGTCAGTTTGTTTTATTGTCCTACTTGCTTTCCCAGGCCAAGACACTGTTTATATGTATGCAGAGAAATCTGTGTATGTGATTGTGAGTCTGTAAAAATATATGTATATAGGATCTCACATTTGAAGCAGCAGTAATGATTTGTACATTGTGAAGACTTAAATGATTGTAATTATTATGACATTGAACTAAAATGAAATATTTTACCTAATTTTCTCATGCTTATTTTTTTCTTTTTCAATAGGATTTTTGTGGTGACAAAAATTCCAGCGGCTCATTCAGCATCATCACAGAGAATGTCCCTTGTGGAACTACAGGAGTCACCTGCTCAAAAGCTATCAAAATGTTTCTAGGGGTGAGTAATGATACTCAATGAGTATATTTCAGTATTCAAGTATTACCAAAAAAATAATGCTCCAAAGCCACATCCCTAAAAGCAGCTGTAACCAGTGTTAGAGGCCATATCAAATTAGTCTGTAAAGGTGTAGATTCTCAGGTGATTAAACCTCTCACAAACACAAGTGCTACACCACTCGTCATCTTGCAAAGTCATCCCAGACTTTGAGCTATTAGTGTCAGAATGAATTGTATTGTTATGAGTGTCTAATATTTTCTCTCATCATAAAAGTTACTGTTACAATATTTCTCCTTTTATCTTTCAGAAAACTGAACTGAAATTGGAGAACAAAGAGTACAAAGAAATTCAGCGAGATGTTGGTGATGATGTGCTTTATTGGAACAGGACAGTAGGCCTCTACCTCGTTATTGAGGCTAGCAATGGTGTGATGCTTATCTGGGATAAGAAGACTACTGTTTTCGTCAAGCTGAGCCCCGATTACAAAGTTAGGACCTGTCTGTCTTTTTCTGAAGTAGTATTACGAATAGATAAGGAAACAGTAATATTCTTTTATTCTGACTCCCTGTTCAGTTTCTATATCCTCTTCACATTGATTAGCTTGCATTATTACTACCACAGCTTGCAGAGGTGCTACTGGGGTTTCTTACAGTCTATCACAATGCATTGCAGAGAATGCATAGGATATAATTGCAGTAGAGCTAAACATCTAACACACTCTGAGTTTGTGAACGTTGATAGCCAACCATCTAAAGTAATTTAGGGATGCAAACTGACAGGACAAGCACTTGGAAACCTATGTGCAATCTCAACCCTGTATTAAAACCAAACTCCCTCTGCATTGTATGGGGATGGTTCTGGTTTCTGAAAATCAGCATGCTGAATTGGAGAGTATTGAGGCATTGTATAAACAGGGATGTACTATATCTTGAGAGGCTGATGGACCTTAAATAGCACTACCAAAAATTCGCTACTGAGGGTAGATTGTGAAGTACTTTCTTTGAAGTAAAAGGGGTCCCTGTAATTTCTTTTCCATGGATGAGGCAATAGTGCTCGTTATGTTAGAAGCTTTTTAAAAAAACAGTTTTGAGCTGAATTGAATTACCTCAGACTTATATTAATAGCTGAGCTATGATAAATTGAGAAGAATGGAAAATAAATTAATTCTTCTCAGCTGAAAAAGGCTTGGCCACTCTTTAGCATTTTAAGTGGATATGGAGACAGAGATATGGAATGTATATGCTAGATATAATTGGTTTCAAGGAGGGAAGACATGGCAGCTGAATAGTTTGCTGAGTACACAGACAAATAAAAATTTATTTTCTGTACAAATGATTTGGGAGTAAAGATGAAAGTCATCATTTACACAGACAGTCAGCCGTCATCTTTAATGTCAATGTTTTGCTCTTACTTTACCAGAGCCTGTTTCTCACTTCCATGGTATATTTAAAAACTGTGGATATGTCAATTTTCTTTTCAAGGGCAAAGTGTGTGGTCTGTGTGGCAACTTTGATGACAAGTCGAACAATGACTTTATAACAAGGAGCGGACTGCAGGAGACCAATGCTCTGAAGTTCGGGAATTCCTGGAAACAGTCTCCCTTGTGCCCAGATGTCACAGAAGAGATAAAGCCTTGTGATTTGAAACCACATCGGAAGTCCTGGGCAGAGAAAGAATGCAGCATCATCCTGAGCGAAGTCTTCAAAATTTGTCACTCCAAGGTTTGTAGAAGGAAGTAGATGATGGGACAGCACAGTGCATTTCTGTTACTGCAGCAGCAGAGAGACCATGAGAAATTAATGAAGAGATGGTTATTATGAATTAATGAGTAGAGGGATCTTTAATTAAGTCTTCAGTACAGCTACAGGTGTTAGCACATTTCACCTAGCCTTAGTTGAAGTAGACTGGGCCTCTGTGGCAGTGGGACTGTGTCAGCAGTGGTGGCAGCCCCAGCTGTACAAACCCATATTCGTCACCACAGTTTCACTGCTACTGCTTTGCAAGTCAGCTTCATAAATCTACCCTGTCTACGTCATGTTTGCTGCAGTTGCACCACCTCTTGTTGAGAGACAGTCAGTATTATAAGTTCTGAAAGACCTTACAATCATCAGACCCATCTCCTGACAGAAATGCATACTATACTTGAAAGGGTGCTGGTGAAGAGTCTACTTCTTCTTGTAGTGTTCAATCCACAGAAAGGATCTCCTTGGAGATCACTGACATCATGCAGTTTAGACAGGCAGGTGCCGGTACTGTGCCTCCAAATGGCCATAGCATACACAGTTTGTTCTTAACTCACAGTAGAGAAGTCACAAATAATTGTCAATTTATTTAATTTATTATATGTTTCTACTTCAGCAGCTAAAATCCAGTCTAAATTTCTCCTCTTGCAGTCCCAAGCAAAAAAATGCCTTGCTAATTTGTCATTAGATAAACTCTAAATACTGACAAGCACAATATTCATATTTGCTATGTAGAGCAGCCTTTCTGACGTTGCTCACCACTTGGTTGGCAAAGATTGCTGGAAGATAAGAATTCACTGGCATCAATTCAACTTGGATTTGAGAGCGCTAAAATGGAACTCTGTTAGAAAATGTGGGCACTGCCAAGGACTCTTATTTTTTTCAGTCATAGCAAATTATGAAGGTGCTGTATTTTTTAAGTCTATTATTACCCAAAATATATTGAGCAGCTTCACGCCTGTAAATGTTTATTTGTGATTTGGTAATTCTTAGAAACGGTCTCATTTCTACTGAGCTGAATTCCCATGTCTCAAGAGCTCTTAAACTTATTTGAAAACTAATTTGGAGATGAACTGGGGCATAATTTCTTTCCCCAACAGGTGGACCCAGTTCCTTTCTATGATGCTTGTGTTCATGATGCCTGCTCTTGTGACAGCGGTGGAGATTGTGAGTGCTTCTGTTCTGCAGTTGCTGCTTACGCCCAAGAATGTACCAAGGTTGAGGCCTGTGTTTTCTGGAGAACTCCTGATATATGCCGTGAGTAACAGTTAAACACAAATGTATCTTTCTAGCTGCTGTCAGAAAGTCAGTCAAATAAATCATTAATACTATTGCTGCAAGGTCATGCTGCCTACACAATGAAATTTATTTTCACAGCGTATCAGGGAACAAACAGGACTAGTAAATTTGTATATTTCAGTTGTCTTTTATTCAGCCGGGCTTCTTTCTTTTTCCCCTTTTCCCATTTTCACTTTTCCCTCTTTTCCCCTTTCCCCTTTCTCTCTTTTCCACTTTTCTCTTTCTGTTTAAAGTAATCCTTCCAGTTGATATTTGGTGAACTGCAACTCCCATTATCTTTTTCCTTTCTCATTTCTTCAAATTATTCGGAATCTGATTTTAGCAAAAAGCATGTAGCACTCCTGTGTAGATGAACCTAATTAATGTTGTGAACAATGTAAGATAGTACTTAAATTAATTTTATTACCCAAAAAGTACTCAAATAAAAATTTTGAGAATGGCAGAAATATAAAATTCTTTAATTTTAAAAATTCATTCTGTTTCAGAATTAGGGCTAATTGTTGTTTTTCAGTGTAAGAAGTCAGTGAAAAAAAAAATTATAAGTTTCAGTCAACTCTGATATATAAGTTAGTAAAAGCTCCTTTGTCCATAGTCATCTAAGCTGAATTTAAGCTGTATCCATAATGACTCATATGCTTGCTCTTGACCTGCTGCAGGTGACTCACAACCTATGTGATACAGCAAGATGGAACTATTTTGTATATACTGCAAAAATTTTTAGGAGTTTGCTAGTAGAAATCTTGGGCACCAGAGTTTTGCTGTACCCTAAGTTTAAGCATAGTAGCAGAAAGTCCAGGTCCTATACCTCAAGAGAAATTTTGCTGGCTTAACATGTAAATTTATTTATCTTGTGCCTTTAAAGACCTGATCAGAACTGCATTTGGACAACCCTGTTTTTAAGCAGCTTCTCTTTTTTCCCATCAGCAATATTTTGTGACTACTACAACCCTCGCGATGAGTGTGAGTGGCACTATGAGCCTTGTGGCAGTAACATCACAACCTGCAGGATGATTAATAATGTCAGCACCAACTTTACAGTACCATACCTGGAAGGTAATAAATTCCTTGCCATTTTTGTATTCTGTTTTGTATAACTTTGTGTACCTTTTAATGAGTATGGAATAATCAGTCAGCTTGATGAGATGTTCCTAAATCTGCTATGTTGAATTTGTCTCCAGTCTTACATAAATGTTTTCTATCATGGAATTTATTATTTATTAACATCAGTGGGCGGTAGTCAAAATGCTGTCAGCCATAAAACTGGGTCTCTGCTTTGGTAATATCCTCATACATGCAAGATTATTACACCATGGTTATTTTTTCCCTTCTTAAGGTATTTCAGGGAAGGAAAAATCTTTTATATGGCAAAGAAGCAAGTTACTGATAATTGGGTTTTTTTAACCTTATATATGCATCAACTTATAGCCTTATTTATGCATCAGATCATACTGATTTTACTGGATTAATGTGCAGCATTCTCCTACCTTTACCCTGGAAAATATCTTTGATATCAGACACACAGATGCTGCTGTATATTGGATTCTTATCAGAGATTCTATTTCATTTGTAGATGCCATATTAGTAGGTGAAAGTCCTTGTGCTTGACAACTGAAAAGGAATTTCATTTTATAGTGACTGCAATGATCCAAGAATGTGAATGACTTTACAAATGTCTTCTGTTTTACCACATGGTAAAGCTGGACAAAACAGTCACATTTTTGGCTACACAGTCTTTTGGTCTGGACTGGAAGCGCTTATCTCCGGTTTAGGGATTGAAAAGAAATGCCTCAAGCTTGACATTGCTTTGAACTGCTAGTGAAAAAATGAAAAAAAAAAAAAAAGCCACAAAACAAAACCCAAGGGAAAAAACCAAACCAAAACAAACCCCCCCCAAAATTCCTAACCAAAATATTTTTTAAAAATCAGCAAACCTCTGTGTTTTAAAATAGATTGTCTTACATTATTAGAAAGATTTGGAAAGTGTCAGAAGGCAGATTATTATATAACCAATTATCTTTCTAAATTATTTTTGTTGTTTATCTTCAATAGAAATGTAGAGCATGTCCTACTTTTGTTAGAACATCTTTATTACAGTCTGGCAGTGTAATGTGACTTTAAGTATCAGTTAATTACACAGTACTTCAGTTTAAAGGCTATGTAGAACTCCAGTGTAGTATGAAGAGGATTTCATAAGAGTTTATTTGGAGGCAGGACACATTAAATATTTTTTAAAGTGTATTTATATGAAAAATGCAATGAGAATTGACAGTCAATTAATCCCTTGCAGTGGAGTTTGGATTACTGACCAAGGGTATGGAAAAGTGCAGATAAATTATCAGTTTGAGGTGGAGATACCTGGTCTGTTACAGGCACGTAAACAAGTGCTATGTTCCAATAAATGTATTAAAAAACTTGTTTGTTAGTGAATTTGCTTCCATATTCCTCACAAAAGTATTGTTGATGTAGTGATCTATAGAAAAACTAGGATGTTTCTTTGTCTTAAACTTACTAGCTGCCCATAGAAATGAATATAAATTAGGGGTTTCTCCAAGATGTTGAAATAGGTAGGAAAAAATAGCTTCCCTAGTTTTCATTACAAAACCCTGACTCAATCCTCCTCACCCCAGTATTTTCAATGAAAACTGTTTAAGTCTTTTGGAAAGACTAATTGTTCAAGTATTGATTTGAATAGTTTTTGATTTCTTTCACTATGCTTGATTCAGTGAGAATCATTTACCTTCAGAAGGTAGCCTATCACTGAGTTAGCTTCTTATACTTTTTCTTCTTCTTGTATACTGGTTTACTTGTCATCAACAGGTTGCTACCCCAGATGTCCTAAGGACAAGCCTATTTATAATGAAGAGACAAAAGAATGTGTGCCTGAAGATCAATGCTGGTGTTACATCGATGGAATTCAAGTTCCCCCTGGGCATGAAATACCCACAGAAGAAAACTGTACAATATGGTATTTAAAAATTACAAAAACTCTTGCAGTAATTCAGGAAATAATTTATATATGCTAAGTCCCTCATTTACTTTACTGGGCTTCAAGCAAATAGAGGTGAAACTTCAGCTGAAGAGCTAGTATATTCTCGCATTTCATAATTTTCCATAACCATCCAGATTTCTGGTTGGTAGCCTTGTTATAATAAGTGTGTTACCAAATTCATTATTTATACTCTTTGACGTGATATAAATGTCATAATGGCATGAAACCTGGCTGAGTCTCTAGAACAACCTTTTGATTCTTCATGGCTCTGGGAAGAGAGGGACTACTCTGCTTTGCATTCTCACTTAAAACTGGACTTCTGAAATCACTATAATCTGAAATACTCTATTCTAGCCCTGAAAGAGATACTTGAGTCCTAACAGCTCAGTCATAGAGCCTTGCTAATGATAGCACTTATACTGCTGGCTCCACATGGTGACCCTTATCTAGCTGTAAGTTCACTGCTCTGAAAAACAGTTGTTATTGTACTGTTGCAACTTGCAACACAATGTGTTTCATGATAGTTTTAAAATGTTGTACTTAAAGAATGAAAGTGATGACATAGTTTGAATGAAACAATGATAGACAATACTAGAGAATATTGTATCCAGAAAAATACACAGTAGTGTGAATGAAGATCAAGCAAGAAATTTCTGTGTTTCTGTGCTCTTGGCTCTGCTAACAGCTGTCATAAAACATCAGCAACATTTTAATTTTTTAAAATTTTTCTTTTAGTGTCTGTGGCCCCTCAGGATCCATACAATGTAAACCAGTTCCAGGTAAATAATGTTTGGGGTTTTCTACAAACAATAGTTTAAAAATGCATAGAATTGCTAGGTCTAACTCTGCAAAAGAGTTAGTATTGATTTAGAATAATTCTCTCCAGTGCCAGTGAAAGTTCTGAACAAAGAAAATCGGGCAGCGCTTTGGTTGAATCTTACTGTTAGTACTTCTTGTTCAACCTTTATCTCATGTTCCTTCATTTTTTCTCCCCATGTCCTGTATTTAAACTAATGGATTTCACTACAAGAGTTTGCACTTCCTGAATATGTAGTTATTATGGAAAACTGTCAGATAGTAAATTACAATTATTAGTTCTCTCAGAACCTTAAAACTTAGTTTCTAAGTTGGTTTCTCCAAATGTTTTATGCAGGACTTGATTAAATATGTTCTCGTGTTACTTTAAATGTAAAGATAAATTAGCACAATATATTAGATCTAAGCTCCAGGTGCAGCTCTGAAAAAGCATGCATAACTCATGTAAATGGTCTCTTTTCCATAAGTATTTTGCCTTTGCCTCTTACCCGGTAGTAGAAAAATTGCACAGTAAAGCTCTTTCTTGCAGGGTGTCCTTGTGTCATCAATGGAACGAGTTATCAAGTGGGTCAGACTGTGGCACAAGTACAGGATGGTGACATATGTATAACATACATTTGTGCAGAAAATGGTTCTGTGGTTCCAGATAAAATCTACCCTTGTCCAACATCTTCTTCACCTACAGTCCTTTCAACCTCATTTCCTACCAGTACTCTTACCACCACAGGTAAATCTTCAACAGAGATGTGATTTAAAAATTGTTTTCTTAAAGAAAAGTATTTTAAATATTGAATGTATAAGTATATGGGATTATAGATGACACAGAGCAATGCTTATGACACAGATAGAGCAACACAATTTTATCACACTACGGTAAGAAAGATTTTAACATTTTGAGTTTATTTATTTCTTATAGAAGAAATTGTAACTATAAATGTACAGGGTGCCTTCCTAATTCTGACAAAAATGTTAGCATCTCAATATCCTAATGGGGTAGTAGAAATTTTCTCAGTAGTGTCAGCAAAGAATTATAATTAGGATATTTAAACATACTATTATATTTTTTGAAAGCTTGAAACTGATGGAGTGATCTCTTTTTGTTCTGTTTCAGTTACCACTACAAGCCATCCAGTGACTACAAGTAAGTTTTAAAATATCAGAGTTAAAAAATGTCAAAGAAATATTTAAAGGAAGAGTACAATAAAGACAATCACTACAGAAAAATATATTTAAAACAAAAATAAATAATTTTTTATAATTCCAAAAGTGTTATTGGTATAGACAGAAGAAGAACCTTTAAATGTGTCAGTTTGGTGATTTTATTTTGATGCAAAACTTCCAGTTTAAAACCCTGGTAATATAGAACCAATTTTAAAACTCTTTTCTTTGGAAAGATGACAAATTGCAATGCATTCCTCTAGTCCTTAATGGAAAAAAATAAAAAATTGATCTTCTCAGAATAGTCTCTGTAAACTCAGATGTGAAATCTCTGTCTTCTCTTGCAGCTCCATGCTTTGGATTAATCTGTGATTGGACTGAGTGGTTTGATGTTAGTAATCCTGAAGAAGATGGTGGTGACTATGAAACATACGATGAAATAAGAAAACATGGATACAAAATATGTGAAGCTCCTGAAAAAATTGAATGCAGGGCAGAGGATAAACCTGATGTGAGCTTAGAGGAACTTGGTCAGAAAGTGCAGTGTGATGTTTCGTATGGACTAATATGTAAAAATGAGGAGCAAGATGTAACTATGTGGCAACTTTGCTACAATTATGAAATCAGGGTAAACTGTTGTGAGTGGCAAGAAATTCCCTGTGAGATTACACCTACACCTAGTACACCACAAACTGCAACTTCAACCACCACCAAGACAACAGTACCTCTCACCACTACATCCAGGATTCCCACAGAAATTACCACCTCGCCCACACACATCGCTTCAACCACAAGTGAACTAGTACCATCAGTCTCCACTCCAGTAATTTCAACATCTCCAGGTATTTAACAGAAAAATACTCTCTGATTCTACCTTGCCATTGGAGAAATAAAGGCCTGTTGACTACTAAAGGCATGTAACCTTTATAGCACATGCTGTGCTGCAAGGAAGTCTTATGCAGGTTTGGGGGTTCTATATTTCTGCTAGAGACAACATTCCTGGAATGACCGGTTGTGTGAGATAAGAGGAGGCCATGCTTCAGGCTGCCATCACTAGAGGCATTATCTGTGTGGGGCTGTGTAGAATTGCTTCATCAGGCTGACATTGCAGCACAGGGAAATGCCATGATAACCAGGCAGGAACATATTCCTGGGTATACTTCCTTCCCTAACCACAGCTTCCCTTCTCAGCTCTTACTCCATGAGTTAGTAAGGTCTTTATGTAATGAGGCAGATACAGAAAGCCCCATCAAGATCCAAAGCACTGCTCTGCCCAATCTCTTGAATATTGGCTGGTCTTTCTGATTTTGTGAGAATTATCTTCCAGGACCATCCCTAGTCTCTTCGCTAGGAGGAGGAGGGCCATGACCTTGTCTGTGCATAGATTTCAAGGAGTCTGCTAACTGGGGCCAGAAAGGAAGGGCTACTGATAGAGGCCTTTCATGTGCCAAGAGTGGGCTGATTGCTATAGCAGCTCTCTAATGTGTAATTTCTGTTCAGTGTGTATCAAGTCCCACTCATGCATCTTGTGCCTTTGTCTGTTTTCTCTGTGCCTGCTGTTTCGAACAGGCCCAGGTTCATCGACACCGAGCACGGCATCCCCTTCAACAAAATCAACAACCACTCCCACTGCAGGACCAGGAGAGACTTCCACCAGCACTGCCAGCACCACGGTGCCCCCCATCAGCACCACCAGCAGCAGCACCCTGGGGACATTCTCAACTGTTACTGGATCACCAACACCCACCCCAACTACTTCAAGCACCTCCACGCCCACACCAACATTCACCACCACCGTACCACCTCCAGGTACTTCTCTGATCGGGGCTCTTGTATGTTCCTTTAGCTTGGGAGTAATGGAGATCCTTGAACACCTGCATTTGTGCATCCATATGGGATCAGGGATGGGTATAACTGCTGGGTGTCTCCTGAAACATCCTGTGCCCAGAGCTGGCCCTTGGACTGGCTGCTTCAGAAGCATTGAGGATTCAGGGGTCCTTGGGATAGAAGGTCTTGGCTTCCCTGATTGTACAGGGTTTCGAGGAGGTATTTCATCCTGGTGCCTGGCTTAGACAAATGCTGAAGTGGTGGGAAATCTTGCTTTTACTGCTGTTAGACTTCATTTCGGAGGCTACTAAGAATTTAGTCCTTATACTTGTGTTGTGCAAGTGGATGGGGATACGTTTTGTGGCAATGTAAATTCAGGCATTGTTTTGGCAACAACTGTGCAGACTTTCTACTCATTCTCCTACTCCTTTTCCCTGTCAGTGCTAAGGCTTGAAAGTAGTTATAGAGGTAGGAAGGAAGGATTCTCCTGGCAGGCTTTTGGGAAAGTTTCACTCTGCATACTGCCACTTGATGTGAACTGCAGTCTTTGGTTGATGAGATCCACTATTGGTTGGGAAGTCCTTCATCAGTTTGACATCACACCACAGGAAAATCACATGACAATCAGGCACGAAGATATTCCTGTGCATATTTCCTTCCTTGACCACAGCTTCCACTCTCAGCTCTAACTCCATGTGATGGGAAGGTGTTCTAGGTAATGAGGCAGAGATAGAATTCCCAAGGCAGACTGAAATCATTATACATCCTTGTCACTTATTGACTGGTCTTTCTGATTTTCTGAGAAACACCTTCCAGCACCATTCTAATCTCTTTGCTAATAAAGGACAACCATGACCCTATCCATGAATGGATTTGCAAGGAATCTACTTCCTAGGGCAGAAAGGAAGGGCTAGTGATAGAGGCCTTTCATGTGCCAAGTGTAGGCTGACTGCTGTAGGTCTCTGGCAGCTGCCTAACATGCAATTTCTGTTCAGAGCATATGGAGTCCCACTCATGCATCTTGTGCCTTTGTCTGTTTTCTCTGTGCCTGCTGTTTCGAACAGGCCCAGGTTCATCGACACCGAGCACGGCATCCCCTTCAACAAAATCAACAACCACTCCCACTGCAAGACCAGGAGAGACTTCCACCAGCACTGCCAGCACCACGGTGCCCCCCATCAGCACCACCAGCAGCAGCACTCCAGGGACAACCACAACTGTTCCTGGATTACCAACATCCTCTCCAACTCCTGAAGGTATGTTCCCAATACCAATAATTCCCACCAAAACCCCTCCGCCTCCAACTGCAGAAGCAACAAATGATTCTGTGGCTCTGTTGTCATTTTTTGTATTGCTATGGGAGCAATGAAGACCTAAGAGCACCTGCATTAGTGCATGTCTATGGGATCAGGGATGGTTGTAACTGCTGGGCATCTGCTGAAACAACCTGTGCCCAAAATTGGCTCTTAGGCTGACTGCTTCAGAAGGCACAAGAATTCAGGGGTCCTGGATAGAAGGTCTTAGCTTCCCTGATTTTAAGGGCTCCACGGATGTATTTCATCCTGGTGCCCAGCTTAGACAGATGCTGAAGTGGTGGGAAGTCTTGCTTTTGCTGCTTTTGGACCCTGTCCTTCTGCTGCCAAGAATACAGTCATTGTACCCATGGTGTGTAATTGGAACAGGACTTGGCTGTGTGGCCCTGTCATTCCGGCTCTCTTTGGGCACAGGCCGTGCAGACTTTCTTCCAGTTTTTGGCCCGTGTTGTCTGTGGCCGTTGGTCCCACTTACCTGCATTTCTGGGTTTAGGAAGCTTTGAAGGTTTTCTCCTTCAGGGTCGGGGGAAACGATATCAGTATGGAGGTAGCTCCTTTCTATGTACACAAGCTCTGTGCCGCTGGGTTCTCCCAGTGGTGCCATTAGTGCTTGTCTCTGGCTGTCTGTGCACTGCTGGGAAGCAGCTGATGTTTTAGCAGCAGCATCTGTCCTGCGTCTCCTTTCCCTGTGCTCGCACCCATTGCAGTGGCTGTTTTCTCCCTGAGACAGGGAGGTGGTGCACGTGGTACAAGAAGCTGAGAGAGTGGTGTTAGTCCCTGCTTAGTCCTGCTCTGCCTCATGAGTGGCTCTTACGTGAGTGGTTCCTGCACATGAGAGGCCAAACGAAGCAATGTTGACCGAGCTGCGAGGGGCAGACCCATAGCTCGGCAGTGCCTGTGTCCTGATTTGGGCCCAGAGTGGTTTGTAGGGCACATAAGGGTAGGCCTCCCCACACAAGTGAGCTTTGTTGTGGTCAGGACTGGCTGACTACTGTGGCAGTGTCTGAGGGGTGCTGCTGTGTGCAGTGGGTGCCCAGAGCCCCACCCATGGGTGAGCAGGTGCTCCCAGCTTGTTGTCTCTGTTCTGTCTGTTTCTAATTGTTCATCTTGTTGTCACCTCCCAGGCTGTGAGTGCATCTGGACGGACTGGATTGATGTGAGTTACCCGGATAGCTCTGACAGAAACGGTGGTGACTACGAAACGCTGGAGAATATTCACAAGGTCAACCCCTCCTGGGTCTGTGCAAAAGTTGAGAATATTTCATGCAGAGCAGAGAAATTCCCTAACGTTCCCATTGCAGATTTAGGGCAGATCGTGGAATGCAGTGTTAACACAGGGCTCATCTGTAACAATAGAGATCAGCACATAGGAGGTATAATACCTCAGCCAGTCTGCCTGAATTACGAGATTAGTGTGTGCTGCACCCCCGACAAACCAGAGTGTCTTCCACCTCATACCCCAAGCACGACAACATCCACAACGAGCAGTGTAATCTCTTCAACAATATCAACAACTGCTTCAACATCAGTGCCAACAGAGACTCCCAGCACGATCAGCAGCACCACAGTGCCCCCCAGCAGCACCACCAGCAGCAGCACCCCGGGGACACCACCCATCTCTACTACTTCAAGCACATCCACACCCACACCAACATACACCACCACCGTACCACCTCCAGGTACTTCTCTGATCGGGGCTCTCATGTGTTTCCATGCTATGGGAGAAATGAAGGTCCCTGGGCACCTCCACTTTTGCCTCTGGGTGGGATTGGAGATGGGATTAATTGCTGTGCATCCCCTTGAAGTAACCTGTGCCCAAAGCTGGCCCTTGGGTTGGCTGCTTCAGAAGTGTTGAGGACTCAGGGGTCCTGGGGAGAAGGTCTTGGCTTCCCTGATTGTACAGGGCTCTGAGGAGGGGTTTCATCCTGATGCTCAGCTTAGAGAAATGCTGAGCTGATGGGAAATCTTGCTGTTGCTGCTGTTGGACATCATTGTTCAGCTGGCGAGAACACATCAGTGGACCCACGGTGTGCAACTGGAGCATGGCTGCGTTTTGTGGCACTGGCATTTCACGTGCTGTTTGTGCAGAGCTGCGCAGACTTTCTTCCCTTTCTCCTCCTGCTCTGCAGTGTCAGTGCTAGTGACTGGCCGTGGTTATAGATATAGGAAGGAAGGATTCCCCTGGCAGGCTTTTAGGAACTGTTTCACTCTGCAAACTGCCACTTGCTGTGAACTGTGGTTTTTGGTTGATGCTTTGGCTGAAGAGATCCACTAGAATTCTGGGAAGCCCTTCATCAGGCTGACATTAAGCAACAGGGAAATCCCATGGCAATCAGGCAGGGACATATTCACAGAATCAGCTAGGTTGGAAAAGATCTCTGAAATCACTGAGTCCAACCTATGACCCAACACCACTGTGTCAATTTGACCATGGCACTAAGTGCCACATCCAGTCTTTCCATTATGCTTCCAGGGACGGTGACTCCACCACCTCCCCAGGGACACCCTTGCAATGTCTAATCACCCATTCTGTGAAGTAATACCTACTAATGTTCAACCTAAGCGTTCCCTGGCTCAGCGTGAGACTATGTCCTCTTATCCCGTCAAAACATTCGTCATTTTGTTCCTGTGCACAGTTCCTTCCCTGCTCACAGCTTCCCCTCTTAGCTCTCAATTCATGAGTTAGTGAGATGTTGCAGGTAATGAGGCAGACGTAGAATGCCCAAGCCAGACTGAAAGCATTACTCCTCCTTATCTCTTGCGTATTGGCAAGAGGTCTTTCTGATTTTGTGAGAAGCGCCTTCCAGCACCGTCCCTGGTCTCTCTGCTAGGAGGGGAGGGCCATGACCCTGTCAGTGCACAGATTTTCAAGGAGTCTTCTTTCTGGGGCCAGAAAGGAAGGGCTACTGATAGAGACCTTTCATGTGCCAAGAGTGGGCTGACCTCTTTCCATGTGTGGCAGCTGCCTAACATGCAATTTCTGTTCAGTCCGTGTGGAGTCCCACTCATGCATCTTGTGCCTTTGTCTGTTTTCTCTGTGCCTGCTGTTTCGAACAGGCCCAGGTTCATCGACACCGAGCACGGCATCCCCTTCAACAAAATCAACAACCAGTCCCACTGCAGGACCAGGGGAGACTTCCACCAGCACTGCCAGCACCACGGTGCCCCCCATCAGCACCACCAGCAGCAGCACCCCGGGGACATTCTCAGCTCTTCCTGGATCACCAACACCCACCCCAACTACTTCAAGCACATCCACGCCCACACCAACATTCACCACCACCGTACCACCTCCAGGTACTTCTCTGATCGGGGCTCCTGTGTGTTTCCTTGTTGTGAGAGAAATGGAGGTGTGTATGCATGTCCATTTGTGCGTCTCCGTGGGATCAGGGATGGGTGTAACTGTTGGGCATCTGGTGAAATAACTGGTGCCTTAAGCTGGCCTTTCAGCTGGCTATTTCATTTGGAACATGAATTCAGGACTTCTGGGGAGAAAATTAAGCCAGTGGACTCATGGTGTGCAATTGGAGCAGGGCTTCATTTTTTGGCACCGGCATTTTCATTGTTTTTACAGAGTTGTGCAGATTTTCCTCCATTTCTCTTCATGCATTCCCTGTCCCTAGTAATGGTTGGCAGTGGTTGTCGATGTAGAAAGGAAGGATTCTCCTGGCAGGCGTTTAGGAACAGTTTCACCCTGCAGACTGCTGCTTGACATGAACTGTGGTCTTTGGCTGCCGACATCCAGCAGAGCTCTGGGAAACCCTTCATCAGGCTGACATCAGACTACAGGGAAATCCCATGAAAATCAGACAGGAACATATCCCTGTGCATACTTCCTTTGCTGACCACACCTTCTCCTCAGTGCTTACTCCATGTCTTAGCGAGATGTTTATGCAATGAGGCAGATACAGAAAACCCCATCCAGATCAAAAGCACTGCTCTACCCAATCTCTTGAAAATCAGATGGTTTTTCTGATTTTGTGAGAATCACCTTCCAGGACCATCCCTAGTCTCTTTGCTAGGAGAGGAGGGCCATGACCCTGTCTGTCAACAGATTTCAGGCATTGGAATGGGCTGCCCAAAGAGGTGGTGGATTCACCATCCCTGGAGATTTTTAAACGCAGATTGGACGAGGCACTGAGTGCCATGATCTAGTAAATGGACTGGATTTGGACCAAGGGTTGGACTCGATGATCTCGGAGGTCTTTTCCAACCCAATCGATTCTATGATTCTATGATTCTATGATTTCAAGGAGTCGGCTAACTGGTCCCAGAAAGGAAGGGCTACTGATAGAGGCCTTTCACGTGCCAAGAGTGGGCTGACCTCTTTCCATCTGTGGCAGCTGCCTCATATGCACTTTCTGTTCAGTGCATGTGGAGTCCCACTCATGCATCTTGTGCCTTTGTCTGTTTTCTCTGTGCCTGCTGTTTCGAACAGGCCCAGGTTCATCGACACCGAGCACGGCATCCCCTTCAACAAAATCAACAACCAGTCCCACTGCAGGACCAGGGGAGACTTCCACCAGCACTGCCAGCACCACGGTGCCCCCCATCAGCACCACCAGCAGCAGCACCCCGGGGACATTCTCAACTGTTACTGGATCACCAACACCCATCTCAACTACTTCAAGCACATCTGTGCCCACACCAACATACACCACCACCGTACCACCTCCAGGTACTTCTCTGATCGGGGCTCCTGTGTGTTTCCTTGTTGTGAGAGAAATGGAGGTGTGTATGCATGTCCATTTGTGCATCTCCGTGGGATCAGGGATGGGTGTAACTGTTGGGCATCTGGTGAAATAACTGGTGCCTTAAGCTGGCCTTTCAGCTGGCTATTTCATTTGGAACATGAATTCAGGACTTCTGGGGAGAAAATTAAGTCAGTGGACCCATGGTGTGCAATAGGAGTGGTGCTTCATTTTTTGGCACCGGTATTTTTGGTGTTTTCCCAGAGCTGTGCAGAATTTCTTTCCTTTCTCTTCATGCATTCCCTGTCCCTAGTAATGGTTGACAGTGGTTGTAGACGTAGAAAGGAAGGATTCTCCTGGCAGGCGTTTAGGAACAGTTTCACCCTGCAGACTGCCACTTGACATGAACTGTGGTCTTTTGCTGCCGACATCCAGCAGTGCTCTGGGAAGCCCTTCATCAGGCTGACATCAGACTACAGGGAAATCCCATGAAAATCAGACAGGAACATATCCCTGTGCATACTTCCTTTGCTGACCACACCTTCTCCTCAGTGCTTACTCCATGACTTAGCGAGATGTTTATGCAATGAGGCAGACACAGAAAGCCCCATCAAGATCCAAAGTACTGCTCTTGAATATTGGCTGGTCTTTCTGATTTTGTGAGAAGCACCTTCCAGCGCCGTCCCTAGTCTCTTTGCTAGGAGAGGAGGGCCATGACCCTGTCTGTGCACAGATTTTCAAGGAGTCTTCTTTCTGGGGCCAGAAAGGAAGGGCTACTGATAGAGGCCTTTCATGTGCCAAGAGTGGGCTGAACTCTTTCCATGTGTGGCAGCTGCCTAACATGCAATTTCTGTTCAGAGTATATGGAGTCCCACTCATGCATCTTGTGTCTTTGTCTGTTTTCTCTGTGCCTGCTGTTTCGAACAGGCCCAGGTTCATCGACACCGAGCACGGCATCTCCTTCAACAAAATCAACAACCAGTCCCACTGCAGGACCAGGGGAGACTTCAATCAGCACTGCCAGCACCACGGTGCCCCCCATCAGTACCACCAGCAGCAGCACCCCGGGGACATTCTCAGCTCTTCCTGGATCACCAACACCCACCCCAACTCCTGAAGGTATGTTCGGAATACCAATAATTCCCACCAAAACCCCTCCGCCTCCAACTGCAGAAGCAACAAATGATTCTGTGGCTCTGCTGTCATTTTTTGTATTGCTATGGGAGTAATGAAGGCCTAAGAGCACCTGCATTTGTGCATCTGTATGGGATCAGGGATGGAAGTAATTACTGGGCATCTGCTGAAACAGCCTGTGCCCAAAGTTGGCTCTTGGGCTGGCTGCTTCAGAAGGTACAAAGATTCAGGGGTCCTGGATGGAAGATCTTGGCTTCCCTGATTGTACAGGGCTCCAAGGAGATATTTCATCCTGGTGCCCAGTTTAGACAGATGCTGAAGTGGTGGGAAGTCTTGCTTTTGCTGCTGTTGGACCCTGTCCTTCCTCTGTCAAGAATATAGTCATTGTACCCGTGGTGTGCAATTGGAGCAGAGCTTGGTTTTGTGGCAGTCTAATTTCAACACTGTTTGGGCACTGCTGTGTAGATTTTCTTCCTTTCTCCTCATTCTTTGCCCTGGGAATAGTTTCACTCTGCAGACTGCCACTTGATGTGAACTGTGGTCTTTAGCTGATATGATCCACTAGTACTCTGGTCCTTCATCAGAGTGACATCACTCTACAGGGAAATCCCATGACAATCAGGCATGAACATATCACCATGCATATTTCCTTCCCTGGCCACAGCTTCCACTCTCAGCTCTTACTCCAGGATTTAATGAGGTGTTTAGGTAATGATGAAGAGATAGAAAACCCCAGCCAGATCAAAAGCATTACTCCACTCCATCTCCTACAGATTGGTAGATCTTTCTGATTTTGTGAGAAGCACCTTCCAGCACCATTCCTAGCCTCTTTGCCAGGAAAGGAGGGTCATGACCTTGTCTGTGTGCAGATTTTCAAGGAGTCTTCTTTCTGGGGCCAGAAAGGAAGGGCTACTGATAGAGGCCTTTCATGTGCCAAGAGTGGGCTGATTTCTTTCCATCTGTGGCAGCTGCCTCATATGCTATTTCTGTTCAGTGCGTGTGGAGTCCCACTCATGCTTCTTGTGCCTTTGTTTTCTCTGTGCCTGCTGTTTCGAACAGGCCCAGGTTCATCGACACCAAGCACAGCATTCCCTTCAACAAAATCAACAACCACTCCCACTGCAAGACCAGGGGAGACTTCCATCAGCACTGCCAGCACCACGGTGCCCCCCATCAGCACCACCAGCAGCAGCACCCCACGGACAACAACTGTTCCTGGCTCATCAACAACACCCATCTCAACTACTTCAAGCACATCTGTGCCAACACCACCATACACCACCACCCTACCAACTCCAGGTACTTCTGCATTCTGTGCTCTTGAATATTCCATTGATTTTGGAAAAATGGAAGTCCATAATCACCTCCATTTTGCCGCTGTATGGGATTGTGGATAGGTATGGATGCTGGGCATGCACTGAAACAGCCTATGTCCAAAGGAAATCTTGCTTTTCCTGTTGTTAGACGTCATCCCTCAGTGGTGAGAATGTAGTCACTGGAGCTGTGGTGTGCAATTGGAGTGGGACTTTTTCTTGTGGCACTGTCATTTCAGGTGCTTTTGGGGAACAACTCTGCAGACCTTCTTCCCTACCTCCTCTTTGTCCTGTCACTGCTAATGGTTGGCAGTGGTTCTAGATGTAGGAAGGAAGGATTCTCCTGGCAAGCTTTTGGGAACAATTTCACTGCAAACTGCCACTTGATGTGAACTGCAGTCTTTGGCTGATGAGATCCATTAGAATTCTCGGAGGCCTTACATCCGGGGGTCAATGAGCCAGAAGAATATCACATGATAATTAGGCAGGAACATATTCCTGTGCGTGTTTCGTTCCCTGGCCACACCTTCCCCTCTCTGCTCTTACTCCTAGAGTTAGTGAGATGTTGTAGGTAATGTGGCAGAGAGAGAATGATCAAGCCAGATCAAAAGAATTACTCCTCCTCATCTCTTGCCTATTGGCAAGAGGTCTTTCTGATTTTGTGAGAAGCGCCTTCCAGCATCATCTGTAGTCTCTTTGCTAGGAGAGGAGGGCCATGACCCTTTCTGTGTATGGATTTGCAAGGAATCTGCTTCCTGGGGCAGAAAGGAAGGGCTACTGATAGAGGCCTTTCACGTGCCAAGAGTGGGCTGACCTCTTTCCATCTGTGGCAGCTGCCTCATATGCTATTTCTGTTCAGTGCGTGTGGAGTCCCACTCATGCATCTTGTGCCTTTGTCTGTTTTCTCTGTGCCTGCTGTTTCGAACAGGCCCAGGTTCATCGACACCGAGCACGGCATCCCCTTCAACAAAATCAACAACCAGTCCCACTGCAGGACCAGGGGAGACCTCCACCAGCACTGCCAGCACCACGGTGCCCCCCATCAGCACCACCAGCAGCAGCACCCCGGGGACATTCTCAACTGTTACTGGATCACCAACACCCATCTCAACTACTTCAAGCACATCTGTGCCCACACCAACATACACCACCACCGTACCACCTCCAGGTACTTCTCTGATCGGGGCTCTTGTGTGTTTCCTTGTTGTGAGAGAAATGGAGGTGTGTATGCATGTCCATTTGTGCGTCTCCGTGGGATCAGGGATGGGTGTAACTGTTGGGCATCTGGTGAAATAACTGGTGCCTTAAGCTGGCCTTTCAGCTGGCTATTTCATTTGGAACATGGATTCAGGGCTTCTGGGGAGAAAACTAAGTCAGTGGACCCATGGTGTGCAATAGGAGCGGGGCTTCATTTTTTGGCACCGGCATTTTTGGTGTTTTCCCAGAGCTGTGCAGAATTTCTTTCCTTTCTCTTCATGCATTCCCTGTCCCTAGTAATGGTTGGCAGTGCTTGTAGATGTAGAAAGGAAGGATTCTCCTGGCAGGCGTTTAGGAACAGTTTCACCCTGCAGACTGCCACTTGACATGAACTGTGGTCTTTCGCTGCCGACATCCAGCAGTGCTCTGGGAAGCCCTTCATCAGGCTGACATCAGACTACAGGGAAATCCCATGAAAATCAGACAGGAACATATCCCTGTGCATACTTCCTTTGCTGACCACACCTTCTCCTCAGTGCTTACTCCATGTCTTAGCGAGATGTTTATGCAATGAGGCAGACACAGAAAGCCCCATCAAGATCCAAAGTACTGCTCTTGAATATTGGCTGGTCTTTCTGATTTTGTGAGAAGCACCTTCCAGCACCGTCCCTAGTCTCTTTGCTAGGAGAGGAGGGCCATGACCCTGTCTGTGCACCGATTTTCAAGGAGTCTTCTTTCTGGGGCCAGAAAGGAAGGGCTACTGATAGAGGCCTTTCATGTGCCAAGAGTGGGCTGCTGCCTCATATGCTATTTCATCTGTGGCAGCTGCCTCATATGCTATTTCTTATCAGTGCGTGTGGAGTCCCACTCATGCATCTTGTGCCTTTGTCTGTTTTCTCTGTGCCTGCTGTTTCGAACAGGCCCAGGTTCATCGACACCGAGCACGGCATCCCCTTCAACAAAATCAACAACCACTCCCACTGCAAGACCAGGAGAGACCTCCACCAGCACTGCCAGCACCACGGTGCCCCCCATCAGCACCACCAGCAGCAGCACCCCACGGACAACAACTGTTCCTGGCTCATCAACAACACCCATCTCAACTACTTCAAGGACATCTGTGCCAACACCAACATACACCACCACCGTACCACCTCCAGGTACTTCTCTGATCGGGGCTCCTGTGTGTTTCCTTGTTGTGAGAGAAATGGAGGTGTGTATGCATGTCCATTTGTGCATCTCCGTGGGATCAGGGATGGGTGTAACTGTTGGGCATCTGGTGAAATAACTGGTGCCTTAAGCTGGCCTTTCAGCTGGCTATTTCATTTGGAACATGAATTCAGGACTTCTGGGGAGAAAATTAAGTCAGTGGACCCATGGTGTGCAATAGGAGTGGTGCTTCATTTTTTGGCACCGGTATTTTTGGTGTTTTCCCAGAGCTGTGCAGAATTTCTTTCCTTTCTCTTCATGCATTCCCTGTCCCTAGTAATGGTTGACAGTGGTTGTAGACGTAGAAAGGAAGGATTCTCCTGGCAGGCGTTTAGGAACAGTTTCACCCTGCAGACTGCCACTTGACATGAACTGTGGTCTTTTGCTGCCGACATCCAGCAGTGCTCTGGGAAGCCCTTCATCAGGCTGACATCAGACTACAGGGAAATCCCATGAAAATCAGACAGGAACATATCCCTGTGCATACTTCCTTTGCTGACCACACCTTCTCCTCAGTGCTTACTCCATGACTTAGCGAGATGTTTATGCAATGAGGCAGACACAGAAAGCCCCATCAAGATCCAAAGTACTGCTCTTGAATATTGGCTGGTCTTTCTGATTTTGTGAGAAGCACCTTCCAGCACCGTCCCTAGTCTCTTTGCTAGGAGAGGAGGGCCATGACCCTGTCTGTGCACAGATTTTCAAGGAGTCTTCTTTCTGGGGCCAGAAAGGAAGGGCTACTGATAGAGGCCTTTCATGTGCCAAGAGTGGGCTGACCTCTTTCCATGTGTGGCAGCTGCCTAACATGCAATTTCTGTTCAGAGTATATGGAGTCCCACTCATGCATCTTGTGTCTTTGTCTGTTTTCTCTGTGCCTGCTGTTTCGAACAGGCCCAGGTTCATCGACACCGAGCACGGCATCTCCTTCAACAAAATCAACAACCAGTCCCACTGCAGGACCAGGGGAGACTTCAATCAGCACTGCCAGCACCACGGTGCCCCCCATCAGTACCACCAGCAGCAGCACCCCGGGGACATTCTCAGCTCTTCCTGGATCACCAACACCCACCCCAACTCCTGAAGGTATGTTCGGAATACCAATAATTCCCACCAAAACCCCTCCGCCTCCAACTGCAGAAGCAACAAATGATTCTGTGGCTCTGCTGTCATTTTTTGTATTGCTATGGGAGTAATGAAGGCCTAAGAGCACCTGCATTTGTGCATCTGTATGGGATCAGGGATGGAAGTAATTACTGGGCATCTGCTGAAACAGCCTGTGCCCAAAGTTGGCTCTTGGGCTGGCTGCTTCAGAAGGTACAAAGATTCAGGGGTCCTGGATGGAAGATCTTGGCTTCCCTGATTGTACAGGGCTCCAAGGAGATATTTCATCCTGGTGCCCAGTTTAGACAGATGCTGAAGTGGTGGGAAGTCTTGCTTTTGCTGCTGTTGGACCCTGTCCTTCCTCTGTCAAGAATATAGTCATTGTACCCGTGGTGTGCAATTGGAGCAGAGCTTGGTTTTGTGGCAGTCTAATTTCAACACTGTTTGGGCACTGCTGTGTAGATTTTCTTCCTTTCTCCTCATTCTTTGCCCTGGGAATAGTTTCACTCTGCAGACTGCCACTTGATGTGAACTGTGGTCTTTAGCTGATATGATCCACTAGTACTCTGGTCCTTCATCAGAGTGACATCACTCTACAGGGAAATCCCATGACAATCAGGCATGAACATATCACCATGCATATTTCCTTCCCTGGCCACAGCTTCCACTCTCAGCTCTTACTCCAGGATTTAATGAGGTGTTTAGGTAATGATGAAGAGATAGAAAACCCCAGCCAGATCAAAAGCATTACTCCACTCCATCTCCTACAGATTGGTAGATCTTTCTGATTTTGTGAGAAGCACCTTCCAGCACCATTCCTAGCCTCTTTGCCAGGAAAGGAGGGTCATGACCTTGTCTGTGTGCAGATTTTCAAGGAGTCTTCTTTCTGGGGCCAGAAAGGAAGGGCTACTGATAGAGGCCTTTCATGTGCCAAGAGTGGGCTGATTTCTTTCCATCTGTGGCAGCTGCCTCATATGCTATTTCTGTTCAGTGCGTGTGGAGTCCCACTCATGCATTTTGTGCCTTTGTTTTCTCTGTGCCTGCTGTTTCGAACAGGCCCAGGTTCATCGACACCAAGCACAGCATTCCCTTCAACAAAATCAACAACCACTCCCACTGCAAGACCAGGGGAGACTTCCATCAGCACTGCCAGCACCACGGTGCCCCCCATCAGCACCACCAGCAGCAGCACCCCACGGACAACAACTGTTCCTGGCTCATCAACAACACCCATCTCAACTACTTCAAGCACATCTGTGCCAACACCACCATACACCACCACCCTACCAACTCCAGGTACTTCTGCATTCTGTGCTCTTGAATATTCCATTGATTTTGGAAAAATGGAAGTCCATAATCACCTCCATTTTGCCGCTGTATGGGATTGTGGATAGGTATGGATGCTGGGCATGCACTGAAACAGCCTATGTCCAAAGGAAATCTTGCTTTTCCTGTTGTTAGACGTCATCCCTCAGTGGTGAGAATGTAGTCACTGGAGCTGTGGTGTGCAATTGGAGTGGGACTTTTTCTTGTGGCACTGTCATTTCAGGTGCTTTTGGGGAACAACTCTGCAGACCTTCTTCCCTACCTCCTCTTTGTCCTGTCACTGCTAATGGTTGGCAGTGGTTCTAGATGTAGGAAGGAAGGATTCTCCTGGCAGACTTTTGGGAACAATTTCACTGCACACTGCCACTTGATGTGAACTGCAGTCTTTGGCTGATGAGATCCATTAGAATTCTCGGAGGCCTTACATCCGGGGGTCAATGAGCCAGAAGAATATCACATGATAATTAGGCAGGAACATATTCCTGTGCGTGTTTCGTTCCCTGGCCACACCTTCCCCTCTCTGCTCTTACTCCTAGAGTTAGTGAGATGTTGTAGGTAATGTGGCAGAGAGAGAATGATCAAGCCAGATCAAAAGAATTACTCCTCCTCATCTCTTGCCTATTGGCAAGAGGTCTTTCTGATTTTGTGAGAAGCGCCTTCCAGCATCATCTGTAGTCTCTTTGCTAGGAGAGGAGGGCCATGACCCTTTCTGTGTATGGATTTGCAAGGAATCTGCTTCCTGGGGCAGAAAGGAAGGGCTACTGATAGAGGCCTTTCACGTGCCAAGAGTGGGCTGACCTCTTTCCATCTGTGGCAGCTGCCTCATATGCTATTTCTGTTCAGTGCGTGTGGAGTCCCACTCATGCATCTTGTGCCTTTGTCTGTTTTCTCTGTGCCTGCTGTTTCGAACAGGCCCAGGTTCATCGACACCGAGCACGGCATCCCCTTCAACAAAATCAACAACCAGTCCCACTGCAGGACCAGGGGAGACCTCCACCAGCACTGCCAGCACCACGGTGCCCCCCATCAGCACCACCAGCAGCAGCACCCCGGGGACATTCTCAACTGTTACTGGATCACCAACACCCATCTCAACTACTTCAAGCACATCTGTGCCCACACCAACATACACCACCACCGTACCACCTCCAGGTACTTCTCTGATCGGGGCTCCTGTGTGTTTCCTTGTTGTGAGAGAAATGGAGGTGTGTATGCATGTCCATTTGTGCGTCTCCGTGGGATCAGGGATGGGTGTAACTGTTGGGCATCTGGTGAAATAACTGGTGCCTTAAGCTGGCCTTTCAGCTGGCTATTTCATTTGGAACATGGATTCAGGGCTTCTGGGGAGAAAATTAAGCCAGTGGACTCATGGTGTGCAATTGGAGCGGGGCTTCATTTTTTGGCACCGGCATTTTCATTGTTTTTACAGAGTTGTGCAGATTTTCCTCCATTTCTCTTCATGCATTCCCTGTCCCTAGTAATGGTTGGCAGTGGTTGTAGATGTAGAAAGGAAGGATTCTCCTGGCAGGCGTTTAGGAACAGTTTCACCCTGCAGACTGCTGCTTGACATGAACTGTGGTCTTTTGCTGCCGACATCCAGCAGTGCTCTGGGAAGCCCTTCATCAGGCTGACATCAGACTACAGGGAAATCCCATGAAAATCAGACAGGAACATATCCCTGTGCATACTTCCTTTGCTGACCACACCTTCTCCTCAGTGCTTACTCCATGACTTAGCGAGATGTTTATGCAATGAGGCAGACACAGAAAGCCCCATCAAGATCCAAAGTACTGCTCTTGAATATTGGCTGGTCTTTCTGATTTTGTGAGAAGCACCTTCCAGCACCGTCCCTAGTCTCTTTGCTAGGAGAGGAGGGCCATGACCCTGTCTGTGCACAGATTTTCAAGGAGTCTTCTTTCTGGGGCCAGAAAGGAAGGGCTACTGATAGAGACCTTTCATGTGCCAAGAGTGGGGTGACCTCTTTCCATGTGTGGCAGCTGCCTAACATGCAATTTCTGTTCAGAGCATATGGAGTCCCACTCATGCATCTTGTGCCTTTGTCTGTTTTCTCTGTGCCTGCTGTTTCGAACAGGCCCAGGTTCATCGACACCGAGCACGGCATCCCCTTCAACAAAATCAACAACCACTCCCACTGCAAGACCAGGGGAGACTTCAATCAGCACTGCCAGCACCACGGTGCCCCCCATCAGCACCACCAGCAGCAGCACCCCGGGGACATTCTCAACTGTTCCTGGATCATCAACAACCACCTCTCCTCCTATAAGTATTGTCACCAGGACCCCTCAACCTCCAACTACATTACCATTAGGTAATTCTGTGGCTTTCTTTTCCTTTGTGGGTTTGAGAAATTTGGATTTATTGGCAGCTTACCATGTTTCTTTAGTTTTTATAGTCTTCAGGAGTGTGGTTGATGTGTATTTCCAAAAAATCATACAAAGCTAACATTTTGGCAGCAATGTCAGTATCCTCTGCCATCCCAGGGAATCTTCCTCTGTAAGAATACAATGAAGTACATGAAGGGGTTTGCCTGTTCTCACCCAGATGCAAATTAATATTTTGTTGAAGGACTCTCTCTGTGGACTGTGTGGGCAGAAACAGTGTATCTTACTTCCTCCAGCATCATTACTGCACTCTTATTATGTACACAGTACTACTCTATCTACCGTGTGTCACATTATGCTATAAAAGCACAAACAGATGGCTCTGAGGCTGGCCTCTGAGTTCCCTGGACACTTTCTAAAATGCTGATTAAATACTATTTTAAAGGAATCTGCATTGCCCATAATGAAAACTGGCCATGTGAAAATGAAAAACCAGAATAGTGAATTGGGGTTCCTAACATCCCAAAATATCTTATGAGTGAGTCATCTTAAGGATCTGGGAGTTAGATATAGAACGTGTACTGTCTCCAGCAACTGCTGGAGTTAGTTAGTTTCGTTAGAATCAGATGACTGAGCATAATCAATGGTGGTATGAATGTGCCACATGAAGTAGCACAGGGAATAATGGTCTGTCCATAGAATATAGTAAGATGGCAATACAGAATTAATCAGAGTTCACTGAGCATTGATCACTCAATGGATTCCCCTGGATTTAGGACAGCTGAACTCTTCTCTGCAGTATCAAGTTTTAACATTACGGAAGCTCTTCCACCTGAGATTGATTGTTGATCAAGCTTTTATATCAGTCTCCTATAGAAGATGTAGGAGATTTTATTAATAATCCCTCTGTGATGCAAAACCCATTAATAAAACAGTTTCTGTTTTATTTTTATCTAAAGACCCTATGCTTATATTTGTTGAATTACATTTGCTCATTAGAAAATGAGATGAAATTATGAAGAAAATGCAATTTCCCTACCTAAAATACTGTGTTTTCTCCCTGTCATAAAGAGGGTACAACACCTCGATCAGAGACACCGACAAAGACAAGTACTCCAGTTACTCCTTCAGCTACTCCACTGCCAACAACTAGAACAACAGAAAGAGGAAGTACAGTGTTTACCAGAAGCACCACTATTCAGCAGTCAACATCCTCGGTGTCAACAAGCCCAGTGACTGTCACCATCTCTGAAGTCACTGAAACAGGATCGACCCCCAAAACTACCCCTTCAGGCCCCACACCCTCAAGATCCACCAGCACCACACCAGTAACAGAAACACCTAGCCATGAGACCACTACCACCAGGACCGCAAGCCCCCCAACAGGATCACATACCGCCCCTGTCAGCACCACAACTTCAGGACCATCCTCTCTGGGGTCTACTCCTAGCAGTACTGCATCTCTGTCTTCAGCATCAACCAGCTCTGTGCCAGTCACCACCTCTGGTACTACTCCAACCAAAACCTTTACCACCACTTCAGGAACCACCTCTAGCAGTTTTACCATAAGCACTGCAACCACCACCTCCACCACCTTAGAAACTCTTTCACCTGGCTCAACTAGTACATCTGGGCCAACTGCAACATCAACTGCAGTCACCACTACAGGAAGTTCTACATACAGTACCGTTACTCCAGTTAGTGGCTCAAGTTCAACTACAGGTCTAACACCAACTACGCCTAAAAAAATATGTTCTATTTTACCTAATGAATCTTATGAGGTGAGTAGATCTCATGGTTTTTTTAGCATTCTGATTTGGATGGAGACTAGACACATAACTTCAATGTTAGTAACATACAGAGTAGGCATTGAACTGGATAGAAAAGGAAGATTCAGTCTGTTCTATTTCTTTCTGTTTTCTTGGGTATCAGCGAGACATCTAATGATATTCAGATTGATATATACTGCTATTAATTCTTCAAGGATCGTTTTTAAAAAGTTTTCTTCAAGGAGCTAGATCCCTGTTCAGTGTTTCTCTTTATTGCAGGATAACTTTGATGAAGAGGTAACCAAGAGCTAAGTGGTGCTAAACTATCTTTTCTGTTTGTGCTTTTGACTAGGTCCAAAGTGGGAAAATATTGTGTGTTTACAGTGCAGCCCAATAAGAAACCAGAGCATTGAATTTGTCTGAGTTTTGAAAGAGTCATACTTGTTCATATTCTGGTTTCAGGAGAGGACTATTAAACAGATAAGCAGATTCAAATGCTCGTCAAATTTGACTGAGAGTTCTGATTTTTTTTTTAACCCTCCACCTCTGACAGACAAATTAATGTCTTGTACAATTCTAAAGCCTCCTCACAGCTTAGATGCCTATCAACTTGCTCAGTAGATATGCAGGAATGAAAATTATACATGGTTTGAAAAAACAGTGGAAGATAGAAAAAATGCATACAGTCACAATGCATGCACATAATCACCTTGGATGTTTCTTCCTGAACAGCTGGCTTTCACTGTAGCTTTAGCTGTTAATCTGTTCTAAACATTCATGGAAGGGAATTGATCATATATTGAACATTGATATTGGTCAGTGTCTTTCACTGTTGCTTAGAGAAGCTGTCTAGGTGATGAGATTAGATCAAACGTAACTTTTAGATAGCTGAGACTAGAAAAGGTGATTCCCATTTCAGTTTAGTGACTTGACTTTTGTAAGTAACGCTTTTAACTTAGCAGCTTTTCAGATTTCTACTGGGGAAAAATTGTCATTAAACATATGGTGTTTTAAAAATCTGCAGAAGATAATCAGACTGCTTCATAAGGTTTCTCTCTGTCTTCCCCCTTCCCCTCTTTTCAAACACAGCAAGGTGAGTCATGGTGGCTCTGTAACTGCACTAAGGCAATATGTATAGAAGACAATATCGTCCAGGTGATTCCCATAATCTGTAATCCACCTCCTAAACCTACCTGTGCCAATGGGCTTTCTCCTGTGCCAGTCATTGATGAGGATGGATGCTGTTGGCATTGGGAGTGTGATTGTAAGTATATATTTTGTTGAGTATTTAATCTCCTGTGGGAACAATACTACTGTCATGACTAACAATATTTATTAGGGGACAAGATTGCACAAGACTGTGACCCTCCATCTTCTAATGTGGGTCTGTTTGGAGTGCTTCATTGATTCTTTTTTGCTAACTGAAGTGTTTGCTTAAGTTGCCATAATTTCTACATAACTGTTGGATTAGTAGAATAAAACGGTCTCCCAAAGCAGGTTTTAAATTTTCAGATGCAGACCATAGGGTAGAAGCCTATATGTTGCTCGTTCAGACTATTGGTAAAGATATATCTGTGGTACAGTTAATCCTATTCTCAGTTGTCTCAGTAATGTCAGATGAACTGTGCCTTGAAAGAGCCTGGTTTTTTATTGATGACTTCTACATAACAAGCTCCTGCATTGACAAACACACTTAAAAAATTTAAATGCTTAAAGTTCAATGAGATGATTCCCACATCTATAGATTTTGTTTGTAGTCTGATCTGATTCTGTATGTTGCCATAAGAGTCTGACTTAGCTCTATGCTTTTTTAGGCTACTGCACTGGCTGGGGAGACCCACATTACATGACTTTTGATGGACTGTACTACAGCTACCAAGGGAATTGTACATATGTCCTTGTGGAAGAGATTAATAAGAAAGTTGACAACTTTGGTGTCTACATTGATAACTACCATTGTGATTCACGGGATGTGGTCTCCTGTCCTCGAACGCTCATTGTGAGACATGAAACTCAGGAAGTGAGGATAGCAACGGTGAAACCAAATACTGTAGAAGTAGAGGTATGAGAGAATGTTACCATTGATTTTGATATCACATCAAAATGATAAGTATATTCACAATGTTTGGAAAAAATCAAAAGTAATCTGTGTTTTAGATTCCATAAGAGTTTAGATTATAAAATGGGACTGATTTGAAGGACTGCTTTTTTGACTCTAAACATGAGAGAAAAAATTCTTCTTCTCTTTTTAATCTCAAATATTTTCAGTGCCCTATCTCTCCTAAATGCGCAAGTGTGGACAAATTACTAAGAGTTAAGGATATAAAATAAGTTGATTTATAATTAATGTTAATGTAACAAAGGAAACAATAAATGTTGAATGGGAGGAGGTAATGTAAAGTAGACATAACAATAAAGTACTAGCCTTAAACCTTTTTAAAAAGTTACATTACTAGCTCTGATTTGTTTCACCTTTTTAACTTTTGGAATAAGAGCACTTACATGTTTATTTCATTGATAAATATGATGTCCTGGCTTTGGGCCTTCAAAATTGGATGAGAAGTGTTTGTAGCTTTATGCTCTTTGTTCGGTTTATTTTTGTACCTTTATTTTTGTACATTACTGTGTGAGAATATTATGTCAGATTGCAGCATATTGTTGAAAATTCGCAACATTTAGACCTTCTTTTTTTCTCTGAAGCAAAGAAATCTGCCATTGCTGAGTAAAAGTAGTAGTGTTAGTTCATAGAATCACAGAATCATATCCTGGCTACAGTATTTAAATAAATAATACAGATTTAGTCTTATTTCTTTCATTCAGTTTTCCAACAAGCATATTCCCTTTATTCCAAGAAAGTTAAAACTTTATACAGTATAAATTTAGGAGAATTTTATGTTCCACATTCATGAGGTGACCTCAATGCCATAGTCTCTCTAATGATTCTGTTAAGTGTTAGGATTTAGCTATTTAAACCCTGAATTTTATCTTAATTTAACAGAGGTTGATAGGCTTTTTTTGACTCAGAGAAGAAAAGTTTGGCTTTCCAGTAACATAAAAGGAAACACAGGGACACTTGATACAAATGAAAAGGATATTATTTACCTTTACATTCTCTCTGCAATGCAAATGAACAGTCAATTGTTTTCTAAAGTCAAACTAAATATATGCCTCTTTTCTGTTTTCCTTTGTTTATTAGGTGACAGTAAACAATCAGTTAGTGGCTTTGCCTTATAAAAAGTTTGGCGTGAGCATCTATGAGTCAGGAATAAATCGTGTTGTGGAAATTCCTGAGCTAAAAATGAATGTGACCTACAATGGCTTGTCCTTTTCTATCAGAATGCCCTACAGCCTGTTTGGCAACAACACTCAGGGACAGTGCGGTAAGGCTTGCTCTTGCAATAATTGTACTCTCAGAGAACCACAATGACAGCCCTGCTTACAAAGATGAATAGAATTTGATAACAAATCTGTGAGTGAATTCTTTCTCCCCTTACCAATCTTAGGTACTTGCAATAACAACACCGCAGATGACTGCATGTTGCCGAATGGAAACATTGCAGAAAACTGTGAAACCATGGCAGATCACTGGCAGGTTGTTGATCCTTCCAAACCACAGTGCTCTCCAGGCCTAAATCCTACAAGTTCACCTAGCACAACCCCAGCAGAGCCTTGCAAAGAATCTTCCATCTGCGAGCTTCTTTTGGGAAGGTAGACATTCCTCTTGGGTTTACAAGCCTGGTATCTTCAATTGAATTGGCAATTTTAGGATTAATTTTTCAATGAAAAGTGTTTCTACCTTTTATTTCTTGTAGCTTTGTGGGTTGCTTCCACTCCTTTTACTTTTTCTGGTTGTTATTCTTTGCTGACAGTTTCTTTCAACCCGCTGACTGCTATGTTAACCTTCATTGATGTTCTCATGTGCTTCTACAGTCTTTGCCCTCCTCTGTCCTATGCCTTTTCCCACATTCACTTAGCAGAAAACAGAGTCCAACTGAAAACAAAGATCTTAATTTTTAAAACACCGTGTCAGAATTAAAAAAACCCCCAAACCCAAACAAAATGTCTTTAAAGAGGGAGCACATGGTTGCACTCAGTAATATTCATGTAGCTCCTGGCATGAAAATACTTGTGTCTGAGTGCTTTGTAGGTGAGTGGAGAATACTTTAAGATATGTTGAAAGGTTACAATCTGGATAAGTGCTCTCAGTAAAAATCTCTCATCCATAGTCCATGTCCACATCTTCTGTTGCCACATCATACCAGGTTAAGCACATTGAAAAATTTATGGATCATTCAATAACTAATAATGATAAATATTTCTGTTTCTAGTGTGTTCAAGCCATGCCATGAGTTTGTGCGACCTGAAAAGTACTATGCAGCCTGCGTTTTTGATAGTTGTGTACTTCCCAACCTAGACCTGGAATGCTCAAGTCTGCAGATCTATGCTGCCACCTGTGCTGATCAAGGTGCATGCATTGACTGGAGAAGTCACACCAATGGTGTATGCTGTAAGTATTTGGCCATTTATCTTGAATTAAGGAAGCTTGTATGGAAACATTTCAATAGTAATGTTGTACTGCTTTCCGAGCAATGAAGACAACAATAAATCACACCAGTTGCTTTCCTTAAGTAATTTTGCAGTTAACATTTTTAACAATGGAAATATAAATGAGCCTGCAAAAATAAACATCTGTTGACTGTGCCAGAAACATCTGTATCAGTACACACCTCTTATGTACACAGACAGTTTTGTGTTTTGCAGGCATCAGCAGATCACTCTATTTAGTGATATATGCATTACTTTTCAGCTGTAGTAAGAGGGCGACAAAGAGTAGGAATACACTCCCTCCTGAGAACTTGTGCAAAAGAGACTGAAATGATGCAAAAGAATTGTAATCGAGATGTAGACTCTTGGCTTTATCACATTAATGTAAAAATGGTTCCCTATCTCTGGCTAAATTGCATAAAATAATTTAATTCAGAGACATGAGTCTGATATCTGAGATTTTTTCTCCTTGCTTCTCAGGGTTGTCACAGATACATAGGAGAATGAGTAAACACTGTTTAAGTTCTTGGCATAAGGTCATGAGGCTTTTATATGACAGTTACTGAGCTATTCCTCCTTTTTATTCTTCCATTCCAGCTCATGAATGCCCCTCAGGAAAAGAGTTCAGAGCATGTGGTCCTATTAAAGAGCCAACCTGCAAATCAAGGTAAATAATTAGTTAGTTATACCTTCTACAACTGTTCACTCATATCTAATGCAAAGGTGAATGAGGAAAATCAACCTCCTTTCATATCTTAAACTGACAAATTTGTTACCACTGTTCTGTTGATCCTATGTCTGGTGCCTCTACTGTTTATGTTGTTCAGCTAGACCAAACACAAACACTGACAATCTCTAGTCACAAATCTGCAGATTATTTGCCACTGTATCTTTAGTGAAAGGTTATTTGGCATAATCCTCCTCTATGTGCCTATGACAATAATGGTGTTCCTCTGAACATTTTGTTTCATAGTCACCAAAATGAAACTTCAACTAAACAAGTGGAAGGCTGTTTCTGTCCCAATGGAACAATGCTGTATGACTCTGGCGTGGATGTCTGCGTGAAAACCTGTGGTGAGTTTTACCACTTCACTTGGATGCATATTCGCTTCCTCTTTGTTGTTTCCTTCTTATGTATGCAACACAGGTCTGACTGTATGCAGTCAACATATAGTAGAGATACCTACTGGTATGTAACTGGTAATGGAGATTTATTTTGATATTTTCACAGGCTGTGTTGGAGTGGATATGATCCCAAGAGAGGTACGATGCCATATGCTTTCGGATTAAAAGTAGAAGTTGGGGGTTGGGAGAAGAGAGCGGTCTCCACTGGTGCAGGCTTGTTTTGTGGTTTCCCAACTTTTTATTCCTGATTTTACTTCTGTTCTTTTTAATTGGTAACTGTGCAATCACTAATTTTATTTTCTTTAATGACAGTTTGGGGAAAAGTTTATAGTAGACTGTCAGGACTGTACTTGCCTGGAAGGGGAATATGGCATTGTATGCCAGCCTCATGAATGTGCTGAACAACATGTCACTTGTAATGGAGAAGGCTTCTATCAGGTCACTGAAGTCAATCCCGAAGACTCCTGCTGCCCTCTTGTCACCTGCAGTGAGTTTATACTATGTTTCTAGTTTTTCTATACTGCTTAGAAACAGAAAGAGACTGAACTACTTTAGCACCAGAGACCTGCAGCAGTTAGTCCCAAAACAGTATTTTTCCTCATGCCTTTTAAAATCAGCAATTAAAATGCATTTTAATATTGAAATGATTCAGGATAACTGAATCTACAGTTATGGGACTCAACTCAATTTCTAGTTCTTGAGTTTTATTCAAGCAAGAATTCTCTGTGGATTTTCATTTTGCAGCAGTTGCCTATAATACTGGAGAGAGTAACAGTTGTTCATTACTTCTCTGCATAGAATTGGGATACTTTATTAATACAGAATAATTACCTAGTAGAAAAAGTTTCATAAACCAATGCAGTACCCCCATACCAGTGCCTAGATTTAGTAGGAAAAATATGTTCCCTTTCTGCAATTTGTTTATCTGAAGAGAATCTGGTCTGTTTCCTATGGAAAGTTCATCCTAAATGCTTTGATAGATGCTTATTTCTAGTAGCTGTGATTTAGTGTACTTTTTGGCTTATTCTTTTTTTTTTTTTCCTCAGAATGCAATACAAGCCTCTGCACAGCTAAAGCTCCCAAGTGCACACTGGGATTTGAACTTCATTCTTATATTCCCAGTGGTCAGTGCTGTCCTGTGTACCAATGTGGTAAGTTCCTTGGAAATATATTACAATGATTAGCATTATATATTACAGAATTGATCATTACACTTAGTAAGACTGTATGCAATAGCCTATTGAAGGAGATATTCAACACAGTCAGATTCTAGAAATTAGTTACTATTAACATTGGTTACTACTGCTATAGTTATGACAACTAGGAAATCAGAAACACCTCAGGTGACTCAAGTTCAATTCTCCTGATTGTAAATACATGTAAGATCAGCTACAGAATTAACTGTGACTGTGGTCTCAGCTTAATCTAGCAAAAAGTCCCTATAAGCATCCCCAGTAGAAGACAGCTTTACAAAGACTACTTTGTTCTTGGTAATTGAAAGAAGGAAGTACTTGGTACCTATTAACTGGACATTCTTGGCTATGAACTGGACTGCATATATTAGGACAAATCTTCCCTTTTTGCACACGCAGTATTAGTTCTTATACTTTATACATGTCATGTCTGCTACCAGAATGGAGGAATAACCAATGAATTTGAACTCACTGTGGAAGAAATGAGTTTGACTAGAGTGGTGCGAAGACATTTTTTATTCTTTTTTCCTACGTTAACATCTAACTTCTTGCTTATTAACAGTTCCCAAGGGGGTCTGTGTTCACGGGAGTGCTGAGTTCTTGGTAAGTTCTAAAAATGCCTAAAAGACCAGTTAGTAAACTTGATCGCAGATACTGTGAAGAGGTTTATCCAGTACAATCAATATTTTAGAAATTTTCCAGTTTCTGTCAGGAGGTCATCAATTTCACAAAGCCTAAATCTCTCCTGAAAAGGTTGTTGTGTATGAAAGAAATGGAAGAGTTGCTTGTATGTCAGTATCAGGAGAGAGATTTGGGTTAAATGTGCTTGCATTTTAAAAAGTCAGTCCCCATTTATTGTCAGTACATTGTTGCAGTTTTAAGACTCTGCTTTCAAAAATTAAAAGATATGTGAATAAGTGCTATTCTAAACAAACCTAGATTTCTAATAAATTCTCTTGGGCCTAGTAATTGTGCCTGTCCTTTTAATATCAGAGTTTATCATTGCTATGTAGGACTTCAATAAAGACACACATTAAATTATATTCAGTGTTTAAAATGTTGTCTTTATAAATGGCTAGCCAGATAGCTATCCAATTGTCTTTAAGATTTTTTCCTTTTCCATTGCTTGATTTACAGATTTTTTGAAATCAATAAATGTCTGTCAAACATGTCATATACCATTAACATATGCTTTTTTTTTCTTAAAATTTTAGCCTAACTCCTCAGTCTTTGTTGATAAGTGTCAGAATTGTTTCTGCACAAATGAAGTTAACGTCAGCACTCAACTGAATATCATCTCATGTGAACCTCTTCCATGCAATACGAACTGTGCACCGGTAAGTGACAAACTTAAACAAAAAACCCCAAAAATACCCATTTATGTGAAAATCACTTTGATCAATGAGTGGTATTAAGCAAAGAACAGGGAGTTGAAATTCAGAGACCAACTCCAGTGTGGATGCCAACTGTCCTTCGAGCAATCTGCTGCATGCAGCTTGACTCCATAACTGGCAGGATTCAGTTCATATTGGCCAGATTAGCTGGGAAATTTCTGTAGAGCACTTAATGGAGGGATATTCAATTATTAGGCATATTTATTGCATTGCAGTGCTTTAATTTATTCCATCTATAATCTGCTTTTATTATTTGTCTTCTATTGGGTTGGAACACAGAAAGTCACAAATCTAGAGTGCACTTCAAAGTATAATCAATCAATGGATTGGTATGTTTTCATTTATTTCTCAAAAATTCATCTATTATAGTGCTATTGTTTTTAATTAATTTTAATATCTAGGGATATGAACTTCAACCAGTGAAAGGTGAATGTTGTGGAAAATGTGTGCAGACCAAGTGTATTATACATGCAAACAATGATGAACTCATCTTGAGTGTAAGTATGCTCTACATTCTGTGTCTCTACCAAATATGTAAAGTTCCCTGTTTCAGAAGGGGAACATCTCCTTGCCAGAGACAAGGCTTAGTGTAAGTTTGCACCTGAAAGATCAAAGACTCATCTAAAGCAAAACCTATCTACAATATTTTGACCTGAAGGTAGGTCTCATGAAATCAAATTTTCTGGAAGGCTCTTCTTGGAATGACAAATCCAATACCATTGGAAGGGATTTTCTTTCAGTTGTCTGGAAGCTTGGGCTTATCTATGTTGTTTGATTTCTGTATGAACACTAGTAAAGCCTGCATATGGAACAATTGTATTGCCCCTGTAGGGTGGAAGTTTAGGATTGTTCTTAATTAGCATATAACAGTCTAGCTGTGTGTGGGTGATTTTGTTAAGGTACTCTACATAGTTTAGAGGCATTTTTCTTTCTCAAGGAAAATCCCATGTAAAACTGAAGATTCTTTCCATATATGGTACATTGCAGTACATGTAACAATCTGTATCTGAAATGGCTGTTAAAAATAATTTACTGGGAAACAAGAGGAAAGTCATTGTCAGAGGATAAGAAAATTTCTGTCTGAACTCCCTTCAGCTTTTCTTATTACATTTTGCATTTTGCTTGCAGCCTGGAGATTTTAAAAATGATCCTAACAACAACTGCACCATTTATAGCTGTGTAGAAATCCACAACCAGCTTATCTCTTCCACATCTGAGATTACCTGTCCAGCATTTAATGAGGACAGCTGCAAACCTGTAAGTAAAAATGGAAAATTTACCCTCTACTCCATATATAGATTACTTCAGTTTAGTTCAGCCATCTAACTAAGAACAAAAGTAAAATTAAGCTCTGATGACCCTTCACCATAGTTTCTCAGTCACAAGGGCAAAAGTTTCTAATGCATCCATGCACAGCCCTATACAGTGTATAAAATATCTGGGTGAGAATTTGAGGCTTATAACTGGTAACTGTCTCTCAGTAGCCAAAATATTGGTCAGCACTGAGATACTAAGTCTTTGCTGATTGCTTTGTTTGGGGTCCTGTCTCAACAGGAACCACCTTTTCTTGAATGTTACAGAAACAGAAGTTGTTCAGTCAATAGGCTGCCAGTAACACTGTGCATACTCCTCATTCAAATACAGAAAACTTAAAGAAAGCATTTATTGGAATAGTTTCTGAGGAAAAATGATATTATGTTAACTGTAGACTTCCTTCAAAGAGTTATTTTTATTTTCACAATCCTTTTTAAATTGATAGATTTCAAGTCTGGAAGAGACCATTATCTTTACTTATTCAGATCGATGCTGCAGTGTTCACTGGTCGTTTCCAGCCATTGATTGACAAATCGCTCTCTTTAGTTATTGACCTAAAAGCCTCTTTCAATACTGAGAAATAAAACAATATAATTTTTTTCTGTTTCTTTGTTCTTTTAGGGAACTATTTCATTCTTACCTAATGGTTGTTGCAAAACCTGTAAGTATCCCAGTGTATCTGAATCAACAGTACAGAGAATGAATTGTCTTCTTTAATCAAACCATTTTCCAGCAATAGAGGCTGATATATTTCTATTTAAATAGATATTTTTATATTTATGTTTGTTATTCCAAGCATTCACTGTCCAATCTCTCTGGAAAAGTTTAAGCTGAAGCAGAAAAACCACTTAAGACAGTTCTTTGAGTGCACTAGTGAAGCCGAGGGAATGCTGAACTGCAAGGAATTTCTGGAGGTATTTCACTGTGCGTATTTTCTGATCTTTCCCTATAGGTGCACCTCTGGATAGCAGTACACCATGCTCTGTCCGTGAAAGAGAAGACTTTATTGTCTATAATGGCTGCCGTTCCGTGGACAGAGTTGTCATGACTGAGTGTGAAGGAACATGTGGAACCGTCTCGCTGTAAGTAAACTTATCAGACAATGAGATTTAAATTCTGCTGGCACTGAGCTTGTTTATATAAAAGGAACAATAAATAGGCAGACTACAGAATGGTAGAAGACTTGGGACTATCTGCTCCCCAAATCATAGACACAAAATCATGAAATCTGTGACTGAACAGTTGATTTGTCTTAATGCAAAGCAGAAGAATGTATTAAATTTCCTTGGGATTCAGACAGATATGATAAGGTCTATTCACCCAGTAACAGCTGTCTTGTCTGTCATTTGTGTCAGACCACCTTTGCTAGAAATCATCACGAAAGATAATTTCCTGTGGATAATTTCCTGTAATAGGAATGAGCCCGGGGAGCAGCCAGACTTGATACTCTTAAGCTCAAAAGCTGCTTCTCAATAGTTAACATCTAAAATGAAACACATACATCTTTTAAAGGAAGATTCAAACCTACAATTTTTATACAGTATATAAATTAGAAAACTAATGCTTTAGGGATGGTATTAGTAGAGTATTTTGACTGTACATTTTTCTCTGAAATGAGAGAATATACAAAAAAGTGGCTATAAGGGAGTGGCTAGTAGGACACCTGGTAGTGAGCACTGCAAAAACACAATTCTAACTCCCCAAAGAAACTGTCACTTGCTGCCTATCACTGAGTATGCCAAAGGGATACTCCCATTACATGGGAGAAAACTGATTTTTAGTATCACATGAAACTATGATTGGCTGGGGAGTTTATTAGTATTTTGAAATACCTTATCATCCTAGGGTCTTTCTGTGGTTGCTTCTGCACACAAATACAAAAAAAAAGGTGGATCTTGATGCAGTTCATAGCCTGATATAGACATATTCTGCAGGTTAGGAATGGTGCTTGGGAAGCTGATGAACACAAGACTGCAAAAAATACTTTGAGATAGAAACAGAAAGAGCTGCTGCTTCCCTTTCCTGTTAACACCGCCCTGACTGGGATATGCATTTTATTCCCATGATGCAATTGTAGCTTTTGTAGACGATTGATGTGATGCCATTCTATATGGCCTTGTAGCCCTTTATCTATGCAGTTTTCATATTCAGGTCAAGGCTTTGTCTCCCCCTAAACTGTTGATCTGGTGTATTTAACATCCATCAGTGCTAGGATTATGAGAGGGATCTAAGGAAGCTGATGATCTTGTACTCACTGAGGGTTTTTTATAGGACTTTGATATGAATGGTTTTACCAAAAAAAAGAAATCTCATCAAGTGCAATGAATTTTAAAAGCATATTATTTGAATCACTGTTCCGTTAGATGAGCTTAGCGCTTCCATTAGCCACAACTGCAGCTTCTCACAGGAGTTCTGTATGTGGTTTCACCCTTTTCTTCTGTATGTTGGCTTCTGGCACTGAGTAACGTTGCCATTTTCTATTTTACTAGATACTCTGCTGAGGCCAATTCTATGGATCACAGCTGTTCCTGCTGCAGAGAATCAAAGACTACTGAGAAGTACGTGGTACTGAAGTGTCCTGGTGGGCAGTCACTGTCACATAAGTACATCTATGTGGAAAGCTGCAGCTGTCAAGACACTGAATGCCAGATCCCACAATCCAGTGAGTCGCAGAGAAGAAAATAACAAGGCAAGATCTCTGAACCGTACCAAGACGGCCATCAGCTTAACATCAAAATGAAGACAGAAAAAAACTAGCAGCATTTGACTGAAAGGCCTGTGCACCATTCTTAACTTTCTTGACTACTTTTGAACATTGCTTTTCCCAGTAAATGCATCCTATTTGTTCTCTGATTACTTTGAACAGTGCTCTATTTATTTGTGACAAAATAAGAACACAAATTTGTATTCTTCCAAGTGCACAGCCTTTTGGATCCTTTTATAATCTGCTTATTTTCTCTGAATGATTAAAAGCACACTTCAAAAACACATGGCTTCTGTAGTTATTTACGTACTGTTTTCATTAGTCTGAGTTTTAAAAGAGAAGAAAAGTTCTTTTTCAAGTTAATGGAGGTTGAGTGATATATATCCTAAATTTTGGGGGGGTCTATTTCTGGCTCCCTAAAAATTGAAATTTCAATGTTTAAGGTGGGAGAGAAGTTGATTCTGTCTGCCAGAACAAAGCCAAAGATGAATAATTGTCATTAAGTGATTCAGATTACTTGGAGAAACTTCTAGTTTAGCACCAGATCTTATTTTAGGAGGGCTGTGTATGTTGGAACTGTCTCAGGTCATCACAGTTATATATTTTCACTAAAAAGATAGTCCCTCAGCTATGTTCACATATGTTCATTCACAGTGCTTTCAAGATGTACAGTTACTACTATAGTAAGAGCTCTCCAAATTCCAACCTTTGCAAAACAGATGCCCATCTCTAAGCTTGTAATCTTAGGCTTCCTCTACAGCAAATGGAGAGCAATAGCCATTTTTGACATTCGTTTGTTTCACAACAAAGAACACATCCAAACCAGGTTAGCTGAATTGCATTCAAAAGTGCCTGTTTATCTGATCTTGCAGTAAGTGGAGCTGAAGCAGATTAGCCGGAAGTTGTTCATCTCTTGAATCATCTGAAGTACAATGAGGGTAAACAACCCCTGTTGTATGTGAAAAAAAAAGGCTTTTGGTATTATTTTGTCTCTGTTAATGAACACGTAATTGTGTTTTACCCTTCTGAGAGTCTGAGCAACAGCCAACCTCAATAGTAGCATCTTTGCTACCTAAAGGATCGGTGGCACTATTTTGTGCTGCTACTAGCCTATCAAATGTGCTGCAGCTTAGGATGCAGACACTGGTAGGAACACGCAGAAAATGAAACTCTAGAGGTTTTTAAGCTTTCCGATACTATGACTGGAGAGCTAATTTATGTGGAGTTGGAGAGGTAGCTGATCTAAGGAAGTTTCGTCAGTTTACAAAGCAGCTAATGAAACCTAGTTTCTGCTTCACTATGGGTTTCTAAGGATTTTTATCTCTATGTTCATTGTGAGATGTGACTGATATTTACCTCCTGGGACACCTACAAAGTCACTCTCCTCTGTGGATTCTTTGTTGTCTAACAATTTCTTTGCTGATACAACAGCCATACTTTTCATCTAGTCTTTTGCAAAAACTGCTTTTCTCAAAATCTGTTGAGATTTAGCTGTCTTTGAGTTTTTCATTTTTGCAGTTAAATTTGGCTGAAGTCAAAAAATAACTTCCAGACACAGATAGATACAAGGTGTGATCAAATCTGCCTTGTTTCCTATGAAAAAAAGATAAACTATTCCTAGCCAGTAGTGGCATTTTACTGCACACTATATTTACACTGAAATCTAAAATCTTCCTTGCTGCATTAATTTTTTGTTTGCTCTGTTTGCATGGGCTCTTTCTGGCCCTTCTAGTGATGGGTGAACTACTTCTTAATAAGGAAGTTTAAAGATTCTATGTAAGTCAGTAGGGCTGCAGATTTTGACTTCACCACTGCAGGGCAGTCTATGGCTAAGAATGTAAAATTACTTCGGACCAAAAAAGCAAGCTGCCTGGAAAGGAAGTTTCTATTTCCTGAAGTAGAGGGTTTTATCTCTGAGAAGAAGGAATGCTCCTGTTTCCCCACAGACACTTGTATGCTCTTAGTAGGCACTGAAAAAAATTATTCTGAAAGGCATTTACATGCATGCACCGGGTGGTGTTACAGTGCTCTATATTGCAGTTCTTCCAGTTTTGGTGCTGGGTCTGTGCTGCCCATAATCAGGTTTCCAAGCGGATGCTGTCAGAAAATTCTTACAAGCGCTTGGCAGTTCTGGGTCAAACTGTACATGTCAAACCTCCACCCCTTTCTGCACTCTTAGTCACCTTAGAACTGTGTTCTAAGGTTCAGTTTGTGCCTGCATTTCCAGTGGAACTGGATGACAAAATTGAACAGATGAAACCTTTTCCAGTGGAGAAATCCACAAAGAGTCTTTGGGAGAGAATGGAAGGAAAGAAGCATTTACTGTGTATTCCTACAAAGAGTAACAGTGAGCAGCACTTTTGCTCCCCTCCATGACCCTCTTGGAAGTAAATGGAGACCTGTACTATTTGATCCCATGAAGCATTTTGTTTCTTAAACAAGAGCTGTTTGGTCTGCAGGTCACAAACAGAGATTCTTCTGAAAAACCCAGGGGACAAACTGAAGAAATCTCTCTCATTGCCCTCTGCCCCTTTAGGGACTCAGAGGAGATCATGGGACCTTCTGATCTCATTGTCTTCCAGGCAAGGGACCCTGGCAGCATCATAAAAAGCATTAGTGCTGGAAGGGAATGGGCTCGACTCTCTCTGTCCTCAAAAAATGACTCCATTCTCCAAGAATTTCCTTCTATTCTGGAGTATAGCTAAAAGGGAGAAGTAGCAAGAGCTCCATGTCATGTCTCTGTGCCTGAGTCCTGTGTTTGTATCCTCTTAGACTTTCTGTCTAGCCTCCCACTTTCATTGCTGGCAAAGGGTTTCTTTTTCGTATGTTTTTTTTTTTTTTCATCTCCTGCTACTTAGCAGTTTTAGTCTTGCCTTGAAAAATGAAGAAGACTTCTTGGGATGCAAGCAAGACTTCCACCCACATAGCCTTTAAAGGCACAAAAAACAAGGTCCCAGCTGTTACTCTCCAAAAGCTGCTTGGTTTGGCCTCACTTTGTCTTGTTGTCCCTAAGCACGAGATAAGCAGAGTTCCTCTAAATATGAGGTTCGAACATGTCTTCGAGGCCCTCAAAGAAGTACTTGAAATTGCTTTGACATTCTGGAAAACAAAACAAGACAAATCATGGCCTTATTATTGCTTTCCTGAGGGGAAGGAAGGGCAGATATGGGTGAGCTGAAATTCCCCATTACAGGCTGGAGTTGGAATTTACATGTAGCATGCTTATTGCCATGGTTGTCCTGGTTGTGACTTTGAGTTCTTGCCTCAGTGGCAGGCTTCACCAAGGCAGCTGGAAGCTCAAGATCTTTTCCAGGCAGCTGCAGTCTTGCAGGGAGCTCCCCACAGCACAGAGTTAGTTGTGGGAGATGACCACCAAATGCTGGAGCAAACCCGAGTGGGTTGGCTGCAGCTCAGGGAGGGTGCTGTTGCCACGTGAGTAAAGAGCACTGCAGCTGAGGGCCTCCAGTGCAGCTCACAACACACTTGCCCACTCTGACAAAAGAGATCCTTGTCCTATTGCATTGTGGGCCACCAGGAGGTGGGGGTGGGAAATACACACAAGTATTCCCTTAGACACACCCTGAGCCTCACAGTAGGTTGCATGCTTCCCTGGAAGCAAGGCAATTGTGGAATGCACCTTATCTGTGAAACACATGGGTTTTAGTCTTCTTCTGCAGGATAGTTTGAATCTCAGACAATTTCTTTGTAGTCACCTGGAGATACACCAGAAACTAGATGTTTTTCACATGAATCTACAGTGATACAGTGAGAATTTTCATCTGGAGTTAAAAAGGAGTTCTCAGAAGATTTCCTGATAAAGTGAGCACGGTTGTTTTATGAACCATTACTGGACAAGTGTTTTGAGAACACCAGGGACAGAAAGGAAAGTTCTTGTTAGCAATATGGAAAATCACTGCTGTTATCTGAGGTAAGGCAGATGGAATTCAGAAGCAGGGGAAAAAGCCACATGCAAACCAAAAAGAACTCTCCCCAAAATAATACAAGGTAGAGGTTTCTGATCTAAGAACTACATTGCTTACTGATATAACTATATAATATAATCTTATTATATTGTGCTGCAGGAGAGGAAAGGTAAGATAAAATTTTCGATATGTTTGCTGTTTGACTGTACTTTGCTAAACCACACTTCACTGAACTAAGCACATACAACTCCACACATAAGCCCCAATGAAAGGACTTCAGCAAAGGCAAAGCCCTAAGTAAATAATCATGCAGTTACTGTTCTTGTTGTACAATGTTTGCATTTGTCTAGAAAAGCAAACTCAGATACTGGGAAAAAAAGACAGAAATAGACTTACAAACTATGAGATCATAGGAAAGAAAATTCTTATGAGTTTTAGGTCTAACAAAAACAGAAATACATTTAAATAACTGTAACATTGGTACACAATTTCTGAAATTTCATCTCCCAGCATAAGCTTTGAGGAGCAGGGGATATTTTAAGGCAGAACAAGTTCTTCAAGTAAAGCAGCCCTCTTCCAGGGCCAAATTTCCTAAATTAATTCAATCTTTTCAGGATACCACAAACTGTGTTCTTAACTGGCAACCTCCTAGTCCAATCAGGTCCAACCAGGCTACATAAGCCATATTCCCATCACTAATCCTGTAAATTCTTTTTCAGCATCACCCATTTAAAATCTGTTATGTTCAAAATGAATTTCCTTAAGTGTTCCAGTTTTTCAGAATTCATATGTGAAATGCTTGAATTGCTTTCACAAACTTGTCTCTAGAATAGTGAAAAACACCTCCGTAATGTTATCCCAAGATTTTGAGAAAACTACCAAAGAGTAGAACTCAGAACTCACAATATATTTTTGATATTCAGTGCAGCAACTTCCATATCAGAATATCTTTCTGCTGCAGAGTGGTTTAAAGACATGTTGCCTTTTGCTACTCTTTTGGCTAGCCTCCTCTCCACATTTGACAGAGAAGTGGTTTCTTCTAATGCCACTGACCTTCCCCAGTTCCAGGAAATCATGGATCTTCCAATGATACACAAGTACTCTTACAAAGAGTAGCTTGAAAAGATCATTCTGGAAGTTTGTTCCTGGTCACATTATATGAAATATTTGAACGGTGAAACCCTTGTCATTTGCCTTGAAGGTTAAACAGAAAAACTAGTCATGAGAGCCTAATTCAGTTGGTCACACAAATGCTAATCTCCACACCCAGAAGCAGCTTCTTCCTGACTATACCAAGGCATAAGTCTAGCATAATGA